TTTTAATTGACCTCAAAGAGCTCCTACGAAAACAACTATTTAAAGTATGTGAGCGAATATAAACATGGTTAAAAAAATAAATGAAAAGTCATTGAAATTTTCCGTCAACCAAAGTTTACTTATATAAAAAGTAGGCTATATCGAGACCATATATGAACGACAGATTTATTTCCATAAATGAACCAAGAATCACACCAACAGCTGACGTAGATTTAGTAGTTTGCACTAAAGAGTTACTATGCCTTTACTAAACATATGCCAGATATCCTACCTATATACAAGGCGTGGTTCTGATATGAAGTTCAAATATTGCAAAATAATATATTAAATATCCGTTAAACAAATACATAGCGCGATGGAAGTTTTTATACTATATAGGGGTCATTGGGTTGATTGTGACATAATAATCGGAATGTTCAACGAAGATCATCTTTAGTCACAATATTTTCACTTGTCTAAATATGCCACTGTCATGGTAAAACATGGTGCAGTTGTTTCGACAATAGGTGTCTTCTGCATAATTTGACGTCGGCGAGGAATGACAGTCGCTTTGCCCTTTTGCATCTTCAGCTACGACTGGCATAACAGAAAATCATAAATATTTCAGAGACTAAACGCTAAGAAAAGAATTCTAAACTTGTTGACTCAACCTCGACTAATAACGATAAAGTGGAAGGTGAAGGCAAGGAACAAAAGAAAACAATTTTCTGGATTCCGTCTAAATGTCACTTTGATAGTACGTCGTAACCAAGCACCAAGCATCTGATTTTCTGTCTAGGAATTTTCATCTTATAAAACCGTCAAACTGGATTTTAAAAATATAATGAATTCTCTTCCATCCTTCAAAAACACGGATAAAAAGTAAGTTTTTCTTTCAATATCGATTAAGGTAGTGATATGAACGAAATATTCAGGTTGCTTTAGGTAATTTTCGTAGTTTCCTAGTAGTTAAATTAAAATTATAACTTAAAAAGATCTTTTCATTCATTACAATTTTATGAAGACTTTCTAGAAGCATTCTTTATAGATATATCTCTAAAGTAGATAATTAACACAACCGAGCACATATATATAACCTAAATCTAGTAGAATATTGTAATGTCACCCTTAAGGTCACTGCTTCTATGGTGCATATATACTCATTTTTTTAGTCACAATTACAAAAGATCCGAAAGAAATAGACGGGAAAAGAAGGGAGTTCTTCCCGCATTGTCCGATAAGGTAACGTTATACTACTCGAGTCAGTTTAAATATTTTGTTTTTACATACATGTGTTCACGTGTAGATCATGGCGGGCCGGAAATGAAGGCTTCTGCGATACTGCAACAAATAACCACCCGAGAACGAAATAATATAACAATTTTGCCATACGAAATAAGAACTTTCTCTAGCACTTGGCCTCTAACAGAGCATAGGATACATATATTTACATGCACTGTTTTGGCTATGTGAAATGGATGTTCCATAATACGCGCTCGATGTTTTGAAACTGACCGAACTCAGGTACCAGACGCCATTTTCATACGGCAGAGTATTAGCTCAGCTGCTTTTATATGAATGGCGCATTAATCGACTCTTTTCAGAAAAATCCCGTTAACAAGACTCGTCATAAGGTTTGAGGGATGTCTGCACTTCGCGGGGGGTTTCTTGGTCTCATCTAATTTATCTGTTTGTTAGCGCGATGCGGTTTAGGAACATCATGTAAATGGCGATGGTACGAAGTCTAACGGCACTTTATTCACAGTTACTCTAATATAAGGTGACCTTTTATAGACAGGCAACTTGTTGTAAATTTGCTCTGATTCCCAAGTAACGGAAGTAAAGTATTTGCTGTAGAATAGCGATACTCGTGATCATGTTTGAGAAAACGTATGAATTCTTCGGAAATAGTAATGAGTTTATTTATTTATCTTTACTTGAAAGCTTATTCCAGTTTGGTTATCTAACCATTTTTACTTGACACGTGAATTGAAATAATATGAAACTGTAAACGACACTATGGTCAAACTATAGTATATAATATTATGAATTCAAAACTAAATTTAGCCTGAGCTGCGAGAGGTAAGTAAATAAGGTCAACGTTTGATTTGTCTACCCGCGTGAGCATATTATGAGTTTTATGAGGTAGTCAATAAAAGTTGAGACTTTATGAAATAAATCAAGTGCATTGATACTTCATGGGCACATAGCACAAAATCCGAGTTGCTCTAAATAAGAGCAATAATTGGTATAGTCAATGCAGGATATCTGGGAATAGTTTTGAGTGAAAAAACGAGGCCTGAAGATTACTAAAAATCGTTGTCATTGTAGAATAAAAAATAAAAGTAGAATACTGCTCTTGTTAAACACGGAAGAAAATAATTGTTAAAAGACTTTCCTTTGCGTTTGAAAAACCGTCCGTACCGGAATTGGATCAAGTTTGCAGAATCGGATTCTGATGAAACATCCTCACATCTCTGCAGCTTTGCGTGGCTTTCAGCGAAAAGTCGTTTGAGAGATGATTAATTTAATAGTTACTGTTTGAAAAGTTCTTTCTGTATTAAACATATATATTGGTCAAGCTGAGCCCCTCTTTAGCATCGAATACTATGGTTGGAGTGTTTATTCCGTTTTGCGCAGCTTAAAGTGGAATATCTTTATTATCATTGCCATTTTGATTTAATAGCACTTCACATAAAGTTTTTATGGTGTTTGACAGGAAGCAGGTAGTTTGCGTTTTCAAATTTTATTAGCTCCCTTTTAATTTTTATCATACTTAGCCAAACATGACTAGCAACTAAAAATTTTCAGCTGTTCTGTTAGTATTAAAAATCTCAATGATCGTATAAGACAATATGCATATAGGTAAATGCTCTGTTTATAACAATATGTGAGTTGAGTTTAACACATTTTCTACTCGACTCACTCCTACTGTTGGATTTCAATAAACATTTTAAAACCACCCAACTAACATCGGTATGTAAGTTACGACTAATAAAGTTCCGACCCGCCCCAGTCGTTGATATAACACAGTTAAGTTGACCTTACGGATTCTTTCGCGGTGTTTAACAACATTCGAAGACTAATGTTTGCGGTCCGACTGAGAGTTGTTCGAGTTTCTCTAACTTTTATCAGTCGGCTTATACTTCTTGAACGCGCGAAGTTGACAGAAGTTTCCGCAGTACGATAATAATGGGGTATAAGCGGATAATATAAAAGTATGATACAAAAAGACAGTGAAAGTTGCGGATAACAGTACTCGGGAGAACAATCGTATTATAGTCATCATAACGAAGGCTGTCCTAAAATGGGAAAGGTGCAGGGTCAACTATGCTCATCGAAGTTGTTACATCGAAAATATGAATATGAGTAAAGTACCATATTTAATGGGCATTTTTCTAGTTCTAAATTATAAATTTGCATATAGATACTGCGCTAGGCTTGTATTAATTTTATGTTTAATTTGCATTCATTTCTATGTGCATTTTCATATTTCGGCACTTTTTTGACTACAGTTATGTGAATTGTTTCTGTTGATAAAACATTGTTTTCAGAGTAGTCGATACTTCATAAAAGTCTATTCCTTTGTCAACTAACCGTCGTTCTTGAGAGTGTAGTTTACTATTGCAATATTGGGTGGTGGGATGGTTGCCGATATTAGTTTCAGTGCCATCATTCTTCACGACCAAGTTTATTTATGTCCCACCAGCTGTATAGGATTTCACATCTCTCCGCCTCTTCATCGCCTGCTAGACCAACAGTTGCCTGAGTGACATTAGTATAAAAGTGGGGGAATATAAACAATGCTAAGTGGTATTTGACCAAGTATAGGCGACATATGATCCTACTTTTCATATCGTCCTTTATCTTTATTCCACACATAAAACAGTGTGGTTTTAACCTAGGATGATGGTCGTTTGTATAAGGCGAGACATGTTATTACAAGACTGTCTGGTGATTGATGCGGATTAGTAAGATCGTATATTGGATTTTTATGTAAATAAATGTTATTGATTTATGAATAAGGGAAAGAATGTGGATTATTAATCACAGACCATCTAAACTGGGAATGATCAAATAGTTTAAATGGAATTATTCTTTCCGCAATATGCCAAGCTTCCAAAGTATGTGCACCAAGATGGCGCACAACCTGAACATAGCATGTGTACCCGGTTAGGGTTATCAGGTTGTGCGCCATCTTGGTGCACATACTTCTAGAGCGCCATAAACCATTTATATTAATATCGCATTCCAAATTACCCATGGTAAAATACTCAAATCAGGATTTAGGGATGAAGTTTATTCTATTTTCAAACAGGAAATATTGCATCGTAATGAGGCTAGCTAGCTATAAACTTTAAAATAAAAGAATTTCTTTTCTATTAGATTACCTGACCTGATAGTTTGCAAATATGACACCAAAAACGGCGCCACATTCCCCTCGAAAATCAAGTACTCCACCGCCAGTTTTTAATTCTGCTTTGAAGCATACCGTTAAAAGGACACGTTTAAAAATCGGTTCAGGTCGTGTATCGTTTGATCCGACATTGACTAACTTGCCAAAATTTGAAAGCAGTTGGACAAAACGCAGTTATGCAACAAATTATGACGTCATCAAAACGTCATTCGATCTAGCCTCTGATGGGACGACTGATACACAGAAAAGACCGACACCGATCGGAGCTTCACCAGCAATGCTAAATTTAACGTTTCCCGGAGAACACAAAGTGTCCCCGAAACCTTCAACCCTAAGTGGCCGATCTAGGCATTTAGTGCGTTCTGCCGCACACTGGAGTCGCCGAATTCGGATATCTTCTGCAATTGATAAAGTATACGAAACAAAACAGGACTTGGCGCATTCGTCACCTCCATTAAAACCAAAAGGAAGCAAACATGTCCATTTTTCCCCGGAGGTTATTGTAATTTATGATAATAGGGTAAGCATCGAAATATTTAAAATATATATGCTATCAGATGCTAGCGTACACTAGTTTATATAAGATATGTAGAATACATGCCGAACTGTACTGGGCCAGGAATCCAGTTTAAACTAAATACCGTCATCTAACAGTAAATGTGTTATTCGATGCAAAGTTACTTAGAGGCTTGTTTATGGAAATGATTTAAAATTTCATACATCGTTTAATATAAACAGTAAATATCGTGCAATATAAATATATTGCTTTTTGTGTAAATGGCAAAATATTTTGAAAATCTAGTATTTTGAGAATTGGTATTGTAATCCATCTTTCATCATGCTGTGCGTTAGTTTTCAAACAAGAGCTGTAAGAACGTGATGTTTGTCATAAACCATATTGACGTGAAGAAGCACTGTCGCCAGTTTTTGTGATGTTCGAAGTCTTCCCAAAATACTAGAAACATTTTTTTAATCCGCAGCCAAGCATGATTATAGATAATTCACCCTATTTAAGATGGCTACATATAATGCTCATAATAGATAGTTTAGTTGAATTTTTGATTTACAACGCTCAATGTTCAGAATATTTTTGTATTTTTTATGGAAATTTTACACTGCGTAGTTTATCACTTCCGTATGTAATAATATTTGTTTACGGATATGAGTTATGATAACGCAGCGTCTTTTGGTAGCTTGATGGATCACCTCATTGATTCGCTTGTTTCTCGACTCTTTCTGTTTGTGAGAATTTTTCATGAGGAGAGTTTTTGAATGTCCATCCATATATTGATTCAAAAGCCACCCTGATCAATTTTCACTACTTTTATATTTAACGCTAATAATTGTCCAGGTCATGTTCTCAGGTGTTGTGATTTCCAATATTTTTTTATCGATTTCACGATACAAGTAAAAGATTTATATCGACGATGAAATTATCGCATTATTATAAGTTTCAAATCATCTCAATATTGCAGTGTTTAAATATAAGGATTTCATTTTGAAAATAAATCGATTCATATTTGCGCCTCCGTGTAATTTTCTTTGTCAATAAAGCAGACAAATGAGAAAAGGGTAAAATTCTGGAAACCGCATCACAATGTTTCCCTACCTTGTTATAAGTTCAAAAACATCCCTAAAAACAAATACGATGCATATATCTGTATATAATGTTTGTACATATATTTCATCAACGTAATTTTACACGACTTTCATTGATGATTACTGATTGCTGTTGTCATATCAAGCCACTCCATTACACATTGATGGTTAAAATTAGCCTTCTTTCCAATCACAGACATATTAAGGAAATGAAGCCAGTGCTCCGTGCTTTTAAGATTTTTGCTCTCCTATACAGCCTTCCAAGATATATTGAATGGGATAATACCTTTTATACAAAATACTGTTCAAGCGAACACGTTTCTCGTGTATATACTAATATCATAAAACAGCCTTTTGCCCAATCCATCGTTGCGAATCCAGAGACATTCCCGTATTTTACATTTTGTCCCTGCATTTATTCTGGAGAAGTCTAAAACTGTATCAAATTTTGTTCGACAGAATTCCAGAGATCCAGGCGGGTTTGCAAAGACTCATCATTTTCCACAATCGGACAATATTCTACCACCAACAAAAGGATATCACCATGTAGGATTTTTTTTCGAGTTTGTCATGTTAGAATAATTATAATGTAAAATGATAACAATCTCATCGCGACTGTCAAGTTTGAAAAATTCTGACGAACAAAATGGAATAGACTATATAGACTGCATATAGAAAATTATTGTCAATTATGAGGAATAGAATAAATATTTATTTTACAGAATTATGGAATCAGCGCTAAGCAAAAACAGCATGGCGTTGGACTTCACCACACTGATGTAAGAATATTTTTTAAAAATACTATTCCTGGGGTTCTCAATCGTGGTAAATGTACCCTGTGAAGTTACAAGCAGGAAATTTTCACTTTTGTCAACAACACAAATGAGCTTTCGGTTTACTTTTATTACTTGATCAAATCGCTGAGTTGCAAGCATGTTGCAATATTGTTGGGATTGCAACGTCCTCCGTTGAGAAATAATTGCTATTATTTTCTCACTACAAATGAGTCTATTTCTCATTTATGAAAATATTGTATTTTTGCTTGCTTCAACTACAGTTATGTGAATCAGACAATCAGTTTCAGACATCTACATTGTTACTCCTTCTTCCCAATTCATTTCCAGTCCATGAATCATTATTGGTATTCCTAGAGGTGAAAATATAAAAAATTGAACCTTTGAAATTTGCAAATTGATAAATGAGAGAATGAATCTTGAGAATTTCTGTTGTCTTTCACAAAATTAACGTGGCATAAAACAATGGCTCAGTGCCTTAGTTGATCACATGCGATTGCTTGAATATGCTTGGGTGACATCATTGCACAATCTAATAACAGGGTTTCACGCATCTGCCTCAACTCGCCGACCCACACCATTCGCATGTACATACACAGCAACCAACTGGAAGTGGGACTCTTCCACACAAGTCCAACACAATGTCATTTCGAAGCATCAACGCCGGAGGTGGTACAGGTGGACATCAATATGGGACGCATCATCAGTACGGAGCCCCGAACAAAAATCAGTCGTCCAATGGATATTTAGATTCAAATGCAAGGAATAATGCTTTTGTAGGTAGGTTCTTTAGGGTAAAAATAACGTGTAGGTTACCATTACGTGCAAAGCCATTGGATACCAATACACCAATGGGATTATATTCAGGAATGTACTAACATGATATATTTTGCCGATGATACTGCATTTTTATTACCATGTAACGATATCTGTATTCCAATATTTAAAAAGAAAAAGAGATTGTCATTTTTATCTATAGTTTGTTGTTCGAATAAAATTGAGACGTAACATAACTTTACTGACGAAATTAATTAATATTTATTCAAAACTTAAATGCATAAAATCTTATTTGTAGCTCTTTGAGATTCTTTTAGCATTATTGCTTATAATATTTTTCGGGTGTGACTTCGCTCTAAAATTTCATGTTTTGATCATGCTGGCAAAATATCAGTAACAACAACGCCGCTAATAACGCTAGCAAGGATTTTTTAAGGCACGCTGTTTTTAAACTTCATCTTTTTAGTCGAATTAGATACAATGATAACCCTTCTGATGCAGGTCATTACAATATTTTCAACAAAATGGGAAGGCAAAAGAACAGAAATGTTGGAGGAGGGGATCTTGCATCATCAAGGGAAAATAAAGTAGGAAGAAGTTTTGAAGGATATAAACTTCCTTTATCTCCAGAAGGTTAGTCAATTTGTTAGTGACGTCACAATGATACACGTCATATACTCATAACTTCGTAATAGACGAGTATTTTCTATTTCTACACTATTAGGTTGTATGAAAGGATTTGGATCTCGCCTGACAACATATGAACAAAATGAAATTCTAGATTACCAAGATATTTGGTTTTTGGGGCTGGAAGGAAAGAAAATCCACGGGGTTCAGGGTGCATCACAAAATGGTGGTTATGACGATGAAAATGGATCATATGTAAAGGTAATTGTGATCAATTGAACAAATATATATGCTCAGCAGAGTGTATGTCAGCAGAGTATGTGTTACATATCCAAAATGTGCATGGAATTTGTACTATATATACGTGAAAAACCGTTTGCAAATAGTTTACAATTGTGTGCTGAGATGCATAGAACGCATGGGATGTTTGCGTTAATAATTACATTTGCTCCTTTATGTTCAGTAACTAATGATTTGGCGTAGAAATCGAATCAAAATTTTCCAATAAGTGTATCTGTTATGACTTCTAGGGGTCTTATTATTAAATGTCAGTAACTTTTCTACGATTTTTTACAATAATTATGATTAATTCCTAAATAATCAAATATACAAACATTACTTATGACGCAAATTGTCCACTTTATGGGTATTTGAAGTCTGGCAATGCTCTTCTTCAAACAACTCCCTTGCTCGGAACGATATGGTAATCAAATGCGTTACGGCATGTCAAACTATAAACCCGAGTTTTGCACGTCCAAGTCTGTTTCAATACCAAACTGTGAACGGAAACCTGTAGCCAGTAAATTTTGTTGTTCGCAATCACTGCTTGGGAATAAATAAGTTGATTAAAATAAGAAGCAAAGTCTGATCCGTACGGCAATTCATTCATCAGCATACTGCATGTACATACTGCATTCATCTTTGTGCGCTGTTCAACAAATCTAAAGGCAATTTATCAACTTGTACTCTTTGATGAATGGAGCTCTCAATATTGTTAGAAGGGTATCATTTATTCAGATTGACGTAAATTAAATACACCTTTACCTAATTATAATGCATGCGTTCGCTGATCGCGAATTGTACAGTACTGCATGGTATTATAGTATAGTAATAACTATACAAACAACCAAGGCTAAATAAATATTGACATGCAGCAGATATTGGGAAACAATGTTGACATATGAAGACTTCATGTTGAAGATTGCATTTGAGGTTTCGAGTCGAAAAACTCTTTTCAAAATTCTAATAAAAAAAAAATAAGTCACCATCGATTAATAAGGTAGGTGCACTGCTCAGTGATTAAAATGCGCGTATTTTCAAATAAGACGCAATTTACCTCTAATAAACTTTAGTACCGAGACGCCGTAGTCTGTAATATTGTTCAGTCACACATTACTAATGTTACATTAGAAGCTAACGGCGGACCATGTAAGTATAACGTGAAAAGTTACATTTTTTGAACAATATTTACAGTGTTACAAAAGCGAAAATGGAAAACAATAGGCCTCGTGACGAAACTAAATTTAATCGCAATTTCAACAAATTCCTTGAGTTATATTCAGCTAAAACATCAAAATTTGGTTTTAATTCAGTTGTCGCAGCATCAGGTGGGCCTGATTGAATTACCCAACGGGCCGAATTTGACCCGCGTGCGTAGTCAGAGGTCAGAGCTAACCTATTCACCAACTTTTGAGTTCGCATAGAGTTTAGCTAGTCGAAGTAACTTAAATGAGTCAGTTCGAATTAATGAACCTTAAATTATGAGCCTCGGGGTAAAAGAATCATTTAACTAAACTGACCCAGTGATAGATATGATTTTTTATATTATTGTACAAATCTATACAAATGCAGTTTTCTATACATATCGAATCTCCATATGTATTTGACCAACTCATACAAAAATAACCACCGGACATCCATTTCCAACAACATCACCTGATATAAAACTGATTTATTGCGATCAAATAACCGTTTGAATAACGAGCGGACATGGATAATTGGGTTACTTTAATCTCATAAAAGGGTGACTAGCGAATGAATTATATCTTTTAATCATCGTCCATTCAGATTATTATTTATTTGTTTATTTTTTTTATACATATTTGTGTTTAATGACAGCGTGATCACAACGCTCCAGATAGTAAAGTCTCATTTTATGACATATTAATATGATCCATTAGTGAGAGTAATTGTGGGAAATGAGATCTTTTGTACAAAGCCCTCGCCACTAATGCAAAAAATGCGACATTTGAGAAAAGCACCCCCGTCACGTTTCAAAATAACAAATTAGTAATTGTACAGTGGGGATTTGGTTTAGGAATGGTTTGAATATTCGAATTTCCAGCGCAATCTGTATTCGTAGCCCTCACCCTATAACCCTACCTGGTATTTACTAATTTCTGGTGCTTTTTGGCGGGGCTCTGTACAAAAGACCCATGATATATAGACTCATTATTGTGAAACATTTACTGTTATTTATCTGACGGGTACATTGGACAGCTAAATTTTAGTGAATCAAAAAATACTGAGGTAAAAATGATTTGTCGTTAATTTACTGTGATTGCACCTGTATTGTTTGTTATTTTGTACTAATATTAATCGCATATAATGGATGTCCATAAAACCCTGTAATAAATAAGGTAAAAGAACTTGAATATGTTTAGTGAACATATAAAGATGTATTAAATTAGGTCAAAAACTTAAATAAGCACTGATTTAAATAAAATAAATCTGGTTAAGATATGTTGACGACTGACTTCATCACAGAATTAAAATTGTAGCACGACTTTAACAGCACCCAGTTCAATAATACAATATGATGAAATTGCGAAAAACACACACACACGATCTTGAGGTCAAATTTAAACTAGTTCTCATAAATTTCCTATTGTATGTAAACAAGCAATTTAATATCCAATGTTTTAGCCAAGTCAGATAGAGATTTCCGTCCGTCATTTGCTATTGCTAGAAATCACAACCTGGGTACAGGTAGGCAAATATATGCCTGCCGGTAGACCGTAACTTTGGATCAAAGTTTAATTTACAATAGAATGAAATTGTTGGAATGTCGAAATAAATTGGACAAGCTACAGTAGCAGACATCGTTTTAGAATCATGAGAAAATGAAATATCATAAGCTGAATTCATGAAGTCATATATAATATAAGAAATATATGGAGTTTATATAAACAAACGTGTTTGCTTTTCAATAAACCTATTTGTATTTATTTTGACGTTCACTGAAATATTGGAATGAAATAATTTATATAGTGGCCTAGTTGACCCAAGTTTACAATAGAGTCAAAACGAATGAAGTATGTAGGTTACGTGACGATTTCTATCGGTAGAATTGCAAAAAAATGAATCTATATCAATTTATTTAGGTTTCATAATTGTGTATCAATGCAATCAAAGTCGTACTCAATCTCACTTTGTAGGTCCGAAAACATAGCTAAAATCGCAAAATTTGTTTATACGACGATTTGTAGCACTATTGAGCTTCAAAGTAGAATCAACCAATTGATATGGCATTTGAGGGAGTGAGTGTTAATATCAGTTCTACTAAGGCAATGACAAGGACTATGGAGTCAAAATGCCCTATATCAATTCCGATCATTTTTTTAATTTTACAACCAACATAATTAAGTCCGACGTGCTGCCACCCTTTCTACTGCTGCGATGGAATATGAAAATATGATTTCATATCCGACTCCAATATTTGCAAGAAAAAAAACTCAAACGCTATTTTACAGCCGTAGTGATGAAAATGTATTATTTCCGTTGTTGTTATTCAAACTAAATTCCAGCTCAAAGCGGCACGATAAATTAACAAGTGGCGAACACCTCGCATTGTACATTACCACTTCGTCATTTCAGTAATCAGAATACAGAGAGCACCAATTGGCTACAATTTTATGGCAACAGAAATAGAAACTCTACAAATGCACTACAATAAACAAGAATGGATGGTTGACAAAATAATGGATTAGACATGCTTATGGTTCACTCCATGTATTTTACTCTATAAGACAGTTTCTTATTGTTCCCTAGGTTCTTCATGACCATCTTATGTATCGATATGAAGTATTGGAGGTTATTGGAAAAGGTTCATTTGGACAAGTGGTCAAAGCGTTGGATCATAAAACAAATTCGTTAGTTGCAGTTAAAATCATACGAAACAAGAAAAGGTAAGGTCTATTTTCTTTTATAATTCACATTCCATAAACTACTGTTATGTCAGGATACAAGTACTTGTTACAGTAAACTTATAAAATACTAAAAAACGTAGGCGTCGATTCTCCTTTCTCAGTGAATAATTAAATTTTCATTGTCTCGAGTATTTTACTGATAGTTTTATTAAAAATTGTGCCATCTTATTTATGTATTTCATCGATGCTTTCCATTGGAATATAATATATTCTAATGTAGAATCAATGATATATTCTAATGAAAAGCATGGCTTTGTATGCATCCATGAAATAAATTTGGTATTTCTACATTTCACCCCAAAGTATTGTAAAATTATTCAAAACTCAATATATTATAATTTTCTACTGACGAAAAGGTCACCTTACACTTCGATATCACGTGACAGGCCCTGTATAGGCAAGCTGCGACTCGCTCCTTATGACGTTACTAGTCTTTTGTCTAATCATGGAAACAAAGGATGTCTGGTTGTTCCGTCTATCCTTTCTCAAATTTAATATTAGTGCTTTAACAAGCCGCTTGCTGTTAGACAAACGTTTGTCGACATGTTCAGCATGAAATACCGATGTTTCTGAGTACACATCATTACCTGTCAATCTTGAAAATAACTTTGGGAATGAAATTAAATTTCAAATAAGGTTTCATTGAATTACATTACAAGATCGCGTGATGAACCACTCTTAGTTTCATTTCACATTACCTGTACTGGTAGATACGTACACCAAGATGCTTATACACGACAGAAAAAGATTTTTATTTCCCCTAAATTAAGCTCGGCATAATTTATTCTATATGTGGCGCAAAATTGCGTCAGATTGCATATTGGATTTTTCAAAAATTGATTTGTCATATTGAAGAAAAGTGTCGAAATGCATAAGTACCATATGATACCATATGATTAAAATCGTTTTCCTAAAAATGAATGTGACAAAATCCCCAAAAAATATCAGAAAAGTTGAAATTTTCGTTGTAATTATAAATCAATTTACGGTTCTAGTTAACTCGTTTAACAGTTAATATTATCAATGAAAAGAAATTTTCGATTGGGTATGGTTTCACATCCATTATTATCGTATTGGAAATGCTAGCCTCCGCATCCGAAAGAATTAAACCTTCCCAAGAATTAAATGGCGCTTTAGACATTAGCTTATGTTATTATGCTGCAACTCAACTGCCACACACACGTATGCATCAAAACCACAAATCATAATGAACTTTACACAAATCATTTTTGTCACTGAAGAGTTATTTGTTTCAAAAATATGATATTTATTACATTTAGCAATTTCTTATCAGCTGTCTAAAGAGAATTGTGTTCCATCATTTTTAACCCCTAAATCATTGACCTCGAAAATCACGATCAAGGTCACCCTTTCACATTATCGGATTCAGAAGGAATCCTAATCATGTAGTCTGACTTAATTTGAAACCGCGATATTCATTTAAACACCCATCCTGTTTCCGGTTTGATTATATTATATTTAAATCTCACCATACATGATAAGTACATACTTCAAGCTTAAAATGCTCAGGATATATTTGTTCTAGGCTTGATTGATTGTGTACAGTTTTCCCAACACCTTATTGACTCGAATTTCAATATTTGTTTTGTTCCCGTTGTCATTCAACCCGATTAGAGGGTGTTGACACCTAAGAATGTTTATTCTTTGATTGTCGAGAAAATTTATTGCAAATATTAGAAATATGTCCGCTTCGTTTGTCTTATTATGGAAATAAAGATGGATTGGACAGTAAAATTAATTTAAATTGCAATGAATGAGCGAGAAATAAACGATTTGATAAAATAAATTGAAGATACGCAATGGCTATTTTCTACTCGCTAATCGCTATGCTCTCTAAATTTCCTTATCATATTTTACCCAAAACATACTCTTTTATTTTTTTCAGGTGCCATGTCGTTATCCCTCGCTGCATTTTTAATTGCCAGAAATTATTCAGAAAAATTGGACTAAGTTTGAGCCTTTCGAGCGCAGTAAAATAATACGTTATTTTATCTTGAACTTATATACCGTGTTCATATTTCTGTACCCGGTTTGTAGTAACTCGTTTAAAACAATATTATAATGGTAAACAGTAAAAATGATCATCTTAAATTCCCCTTTTCAGGTTTCATCATCAGGCGATGGTGGAAGTAAAAATTCTTGATGCATTGCGCAAAAAAGATAAAGACGGTTCACTGAACGTGATTCATATGTTGGAATATTTCAACTTCCGAAATCATCTTTGCATAACATTTGAACTTTTAGGGTAAGTGACACAAATGTGATATTAATTTGGTACGTGCAACGTTGCTTCGAAAAATGATAATGAGAAACTTTAGCTGATGCCTGATGACTTATGTAAAAAAATAAAAATAAAAATAGAAGCACACACAGATAATTAGCATTAACTTATATCAACTAACTATTATTTAAATTTTAGTACTTCATCATAACTTGTCCTGCATGATCGCATTTTTTTGGCATAGTATGAACAATTTGTAACGTTTTAGTGTCTGCCTCGAGTCGGACAGAGAGCGATACCACAAAATGAATGCAGCAGCCTGTCGCGGCATAATTGTCAAATTTCCTTGTTGTTGATGATGCTATGTAAATAATAATCATATTTGTTCCCAGAATGAATTTGTATGAATTAATCAAGAAAAACAATTTTCAAGGATTTAGTCTGCCATTAATAAGACGTATTGCACATGCTTTACTGAAATGCCTCGTTGTTTTACACAAAGAAAGAATCATTCACTGTGATATGAAACCGGTGAGACTGCTTTGCATCTTATATTTTAAGTTATAAAGATTGTGATTTGAAGGAGAAAACACACATCCTCATTGACCAGTTTACAGAGCTCGTTGTATAAAAATTCAGATATTCATTATTAGAATATTGTGTATTAAATCTGGATGCTCTTTTTCCATGTCAATTCCTGCTCCTGATCTGCATGGCCGTTGCCACAAGGATGCTTGACTGAGATAGTATTGAAGTGATAAATAAGAATAACACAATCTCTTTGCACGAATGTTATTTCGTGGAAAGATATTAGGTTGTTCATATTCAGATATTTAAATAGTTTTAAATTTAAGTTTTATGGACAGACGCATTTCTTAGTGCAGTATGAACTTTGGAGAATGTGTCCCCTTCTCGCCTTCAAAGCATCAGAATAATTTTTCCGTTGTAAAATCTGATGTATGTATGTATTCCAGTCTTGTGCCAATTTTGAATTAAACTTTTAGAGCAATAATATAAAACGATTCAATATTTTTTATCGCTGTAGGAAAACATACTGATCCGACAAAAAGGTCAAAGTTCAATAAAGGTCATCGATTTTGGGTCAAGCTGTTATGAACATCAAAGAGGTACTTTTACAAACGGACAAGCTTGATTTATATATAAATTGGATATATTGTTCATCAAATAAAACAGACAAAATTTATGAGATTGGCAAAATAATAAATCAGCCAATGTTGACTCGGGTTATATATATTGAATACGATCTTGTCCTTTATCTTAAATCCTTAATACTTAGTTTACAATGTATATTTTTATTTGGTAAGAAGTAATAACCATAAATTTTGTTTGCGTTATATACTTTTTGCCATGTTTAAGTTTGCATAAGAGTCTAACTTGTTCTTTGAGTGTAAATAGGAACATGAATAGCGGACTTTAAAACAAGAAATTTAACATAATAATATCGATCTTTTTCAGTGTACACCTATATCCAGAGTCGCTTTTATCGTTCGCCAGAAGTGATTCTTGGGCACCAATATAGTATGGCAATAGATATGTGGAGTTTTGGCTGTATTTTATCAGAGTTATATACGGGTTATCCACTGTTTCCTGGCGAAAATGAAGTAGAGCAATTAGCTTGTATCATGGAGGTACGACAATAGATCTGTTCCCATACGCACTTAATTTCAAACTTTATAATCGGCATGTGAAAACACAGTACATGAATATTTTATCAATAATGAATTGCTTTGAAATTTACAGTTGTTTTCTTACTAGGGAGCTTTATGGCATTTAATTGAGTAATATTAAGTTTAATATCAAAGAATAATAATATCTCGTCTCAACTATAATAATGCAAAACTAAATTCAAATTAAACATGCCCGTTTGAATTGTGTGTATGCTTAAAACTGTACATCCATGACATAATCTTAAAAATATTTAACAGGTAAATGGTCTCCCGCCAAATGAATTTATCGAAACTGCGCACAGGAGGAGATTATTTTTCGGTAAGAACATTATTTTTATGAACTTTCCATGAGCCATATCTATCTGAACAATGCCCATAAAAGAGGATACACGCGTGAGATGGTTGCGCCGGAGGATAGAAGGTTCGAATCCACTAACGTAAAAAGCTAGTGCGATAAAAAAAAGACCGAGCCAGTATATTACGCCTAGTTATACTGATTCATATAGAGATCAACTTGAAGTAGTCTACCCTGTATGTGTATGTGTCTACCGTGCAATCCCAGGACGATTACGCCATTTTATTACGCAATAAACCCACATTGGCTTACTTGGTAGTTAAAAATGTAGGTGAATATTGTAGTTTTATCATCCAAGTCTGAGGAAATATTTGTTTCAATTTTAGATTCGAAAGGAAATCCGCGTTGTATAACAAACAGTAAAGGGAGAAAGCGCAAGCCAAATACTAAGGATCTCAGCACTGCCGTTAGATGCAATGACCCAGTCTTCCTTGATTTTCTAAGGCGATGCTTAGAGTAAGTACCTTACTATATAAATACATATGTATATATATATATATATATATCCGATTTAACGTATGTGTTGCAAATAATTAGCATTTGAACCCATACATTTGCACCCGTATATCCGCGGGTTCAATCTATATGAAGATGCTAAAATCCATGGGTTAGACCAATTCCTAGTCGCACATCATTTGCAGATACACTCGGTGTCATGGCGCCTGTAGCAATAGCCCTGATTCCAATAGAATAAACCTGATCAACTTTTCTTCTCATCGATCCAGGATTTTTGAGAATGGAGTTGCATCGATATAACCTTAACTTAAATACTTGGGACCTCGCTTTGCGCAAATTGGTATTAAAATGAACTTATTAATTCCAAATTTTGACAGATGGGACCCTGCCATGCGCATGACACCTGATGAAGCCATGAATCACGAGTGGATAGTCGAAGGTCGTTTCCATAAAACTCGTGGGCAAACAAAAGTGGCAACTAGACAGGAAGTCACTTTGGTAAACCAACAGTCCGTCAATGTGAACGCTAGTAACAATATGACTTCGTCAGATGATCAAGCGAATGATGGCCCGTTTTCAAAAAAGATCCACATGAAGTCCAGGCCAGGTATCTTCTTAAAATCCTTTTACATATTGTATTAATATCACAACTTCAGTATTATTAGATATCATCAAAAAAATTCACAAAATACATTGGTTTTATAGCTGCGATATTTGGTGATTATAATAATCAAGATTGCCAATTTACCGTGGCAATATTGCATATCAATGAGCTGAACTAGGGGAATCGAGAAATTAGTTTAACGGTATTGACATCTTTAATTACAGTGACTATTTAGCCAAATTATATTGCTGTATAAATTTAGAAAAAATTGCACTCCCGAACGATGACTCTACGAGTACAGCTAATGCAGTCAAGCAGAACAAGCCTACACAGGATAGCAAATCAAAACCACAGCCCAAAAATTCTGACGACGGCAATTTAACGGAAAATAATAAATTAGCAAATGGCAAGCCAGATGGAGAGGAAGAAGTTAAAACTCTTTCTTATGCGGTACAACCTGAGGCTCCTTCTGAAACTGGTGACGTCACTTCTGGTGTTAGCACCGATGATCAAGCGCCCGGAACGACTGAAAGACTACAACCGATTGGAGCGTCTGATGCCAGCATGGTGATTGAGGATCAGGACTTAAGTATGGAAACATTTTAACTTTTTTTCATACAATTGATTTGATTCGTATTGAATGACTATTGCCAACTTGCTTGATGTGTCATCTATTTTAGCAAAACACAATCAAAACGAACGAAATAATTTACAAATTCGCAGGTATCTCAGAGAAAATAGTCGGGGTTCTGACAAAACTCTGCGTTTAAGTACTGGTAGTTTGCGTCTACTCTTATATATATATATATATGCAATATCACGTATTATATAATATTGACTTGCTTATTTTTCAGTTGACAAAAAGCTTCAAAACATGAAAGCCCTACAAGCTGAAAAAACACCTCGAACGAAAAAACGAGGTCCAGAGAAAAGTGCAGCAAAATCGGCAAAAAACACATTTCCGCCTCCCACCACAATCGTGCAACCAACAACTAAAGATTCAACGACCAAACTGCCACCTATTTCGTAATAGGAAATTCACCACACAAACTAAGACATTAAAACCTAAGGCCATACTATTTGTAACTTACATAACAAGAGTTAGGCTATGTCGAATTACGAAACATTCCACGACTGGTTAGCCCAGCCTTATTCACCCATTTACCAAGAAGTAGAACTTTACAGAAACAATTGCAGAGTATTGTAGATTTCTCGGTCAAGTTGTTGATGCATCACCAACAATATTTTAACAAGATAGAGTTTTTAATTTATCTTTTTACGACAAAAAAAATCCGTTTTTTCATCTTAATAATAGGCGTGTCCTGCATTGGCGTTGTTTGACTCGAGTTATTAATTTCAACAGTCGTTCGTTCCATGAAACAATGCACTTATTGTTACGGTAGATTTTCCTATCCTATATAATTCTTTCCTGTTGTGCCTCTTTATTCAGTTTTCAATAATAGAGATCTTGGCAAAAAATACCAATCTGGTTTTGGGGTTTTATTCTCATATCATTTTGACAACTATCTACCGTATTTTTATAGTACCGAACTCTATTAGCATGACACAGTAGTTACAATTTGATAATTTTCTTTCTTTTTCAAAGATCCACTATTCTGTATTTTAGTATTTGGAAATTGCTCTATAGAAAAGTATGTTGTCTTGATACATTCCTCTATTTTCTCTACCTTTATGTTTATTTATTTATTCTGTGTTTGTTGTACAATTTGTGAGATTATAGACTATAGGATCACTTAGCAAATATGTTTTTTTGTTAAATAAAAAAATCTAGTGATGTGTCCTGGCAAATCATTGTCATGGCATCTCCACAGTGAGTTGTCTTCTCTGGCTCAAATCTAAAATTGCTAATGATATGTGTCTTTAATGGAATCGTGTACCTGATAAATAATAAAACGTTAAAATCGCAAGCATCAACGCATTCATTAAATATCTTTTTAATGTATTCGAATCCCGTTGGAGAAAGAAAACAGGGTGTTTAAACTGTTCACAAAAGTAAAACTCATTTTCACAGAGGTGTAATTTTAACCAGTTGTTTTGTCGATATTTGATTTTTGTAACATTTATTTAGGTAAATCGCCATATATTTTTACATGTTTTATGAATATTAAAGTTGAAAATAATGTATGGAGACAGTAGTGATATGTATCGTATCGTAAAAGAACGTCTTTCTGGATAACTAGGTCTGTGCCTGTGAGAGTGGATTATTTACAGAAAAAAACTTCTTTTTCACTTCAAAAAATAGGTTGGTGAGGCACGATTGAGTTACAGGATGCAGTCAATGTGCGCAATTCCAAGGTCAACATTAATTATTGGTGTTTTGACGACACCTAAAAACCTTAGTGGCAACACAAATTAACGTCAGTCATATCGAAAAATCCCGATTGATATATGGACACGTAGACGAGAGCGAATCAGTCCTTTGACGCTACCGGTACCGAAGCGTATATATAACAAGAGAGCAACGCTCAAATATATGGACACGTGGACTAGAGCGAAGCAGGGTTTACCATTGACGTTACCGGTACCGTACCCTAAAAAGTTCCGGGTTTTCAGTCGCAAGAATTTTCACAGTCAGCCATCACGCTTGGCGGATTAAAAACCGTGTTCCCATAATTAAAAATTAATACAGCGCAATTTTGGATGAAATATTAGATCTCATAAGATTCATGGAAAATTCAGGAATAAATGAAAGTAATAGCCTTCTGGCCAAAAAATCAATCTTGAACCACTGAAAATTCCAAAGCAATTGGTCCAGTATTCGAAGAGAAAAGCGATTTTTTAATGATAATGACGAAAAAAAATAACAATAACAACAAAATTTTGAAACGATCGTTATGGCCACTAAACGTGTCCAATAATGACCGGGTACCATCAAGAAAATTTTAGATTTTCAGTAGCAGGAATTTTGCAGAATCAAAACGTACAGCTAGTCTCCACGCGGACTACAATCCGTGTTCCCATCGATGAAAAAATACAGAGAAATTTTGGACGAAATATCAAATTTAATAGAATTCATACAAAATTTAGAAATAAATAAAAGTATTAGCCTTCTAGAAAAATATTCCATCTTCAACTACTGAAACTTTCAAAGCAATTGGTCCAGTGATCAAGGAGAAAAGCGACTTTTTAAAAACGTGTCAAAGAACAAGAACAACAACATAATATTGAAAAGATCGCTATGTCCACTACATGTCCAATAAGAGCGGTCACTGTTCAGAATCTTGGCCGCTACACTCGTCGACTCAGAGTCATTCAGGTAACCAGTGGTCGTTGTTTGCCATATTATAAGCCATTTCGTCGCTTCGAGAAGAATAAAAATATTCCATGAAAATCTAGATCTTATTCAAAAAAATAACAGTAACGGTAATAGGGGAATACAGTTTAATCAAAGATATTTTCCTTCTTAACTGGTGTATCCTATACCCGTTATGTACTTACTCGACTTTCCTCTCTGAACTGCGCCGTAATATTGCTGTGGTATGTATGTTTCCTCGACGCTGGATCCAAGAATTTTACTATAGCAAAAGTTTTCATGCCTATTTAACAGTGTTTTGAAGTGTTGACGCTTACAAACTTGTTAACATGCTTGAAACCATCATTTTTAACATAATAATAATTATACAACCACGTGCCGCTTACCGGTACTGGTTGCTAATTTTAGCCTAGTCTGTCTCAGCGTTTGCGAGACTCACTTTCGATTACAGCTACTAAAATAAAGCTTCCCTGAATACATAGTGAAAGTTTAGTTATTTTATTATCTATCTATCTAACTATTATTGGAAACACAACTAAAAACTGACAAATAACACGCAAAACTACAAAATTAAGACAATGTTTACTACGGTATCATGCTTGAATAAGTGTCTGAAGGACAGAAGTGTCTGAGCTATCGCAGGAATTGCAATTGTTACGTCATTGTTAACTTATTGCTGATTGAATAGGTTACGGTAAACAAGTAAGTCGATGCTCACGGAAACATCTTTCTAACATTCTTTCTTTGGGTGAGCGAACACGTACTACTTCTTATATCAATACCTTTTCATCTAAAATCTGTACGTTTCAAACCTTACTCTAAGTTTTGTTCGCTTTCCCGATTCTATAATCAGTTACTTTTACTTTTGTTTTTATCTATTTTTTTATCGTCTATTGCTGATTATGGAGTCGAAATAAACTTATACTTATGACGGGACTCACTCAGCCATGGTAATGAAGGGGGGAATCCCCGCGTTGACCTTCTTGTTTCCGATTCTTGCTGCAGCCTCTCCAATTAATTAGTTTCTATCTGTAAAACTGCTGGAAATATGCAGAACGTTTTCAACTCCGTTAAAAGTGGTGCACTTGGAGTAGCTGAGATGCTAACACCGGTTCTTAAGGCATCCAAATTTAAGGACACTGGGGTCATCACTCCAGAAGAGTTTGTAGCAGCTGGTGATTTTTTGGTTCACCATTGCCCAACATGGCAGTGGGCGAGCGGGGATAAATCAAAAGTAAAGCAATATTTACCTGAAACGAAGCAATATCTGCTTACAAGGAATGTTCCATGCTACAAAAGGTGCAAAGAAATTGAGTATGATGACAAAAACGAAGCAGTTATTGAGGAACAAGATGATGACGGAGGATGGGTGGACACTCATCATCATTTCTCTGGCGAACTTGATAAAGTCCAGGAAGAAGTTCAAGAAATGACAATGTCTGACAGTAAAAAAGATTCAAATAAAAACGATGATGATGAAAGTGATGAGGATGATGATGAGGCTTTGGACATGGAGGATTTTGCGGAAAAATTAGAAGCTGATGAAGATGATGCCAGATTAGATATTGTTGCAGAGGTTAAAGATGCAACAAAAGAATCATCAGATGAAGGAATAGTCCGCACAAGAACATATGATCTTCACATAACTTATGATAAATATTATCAAACGCCAAGATTATGGCTATCAGGATACAATGAGCAACGTAGTCCATTGAAAATGGCTGAAATGTATGAAGACATAAGTCAAGATCATGTCAATAAAACTGTGACAATTGAACCGCACCCACATCTGCCCCCTCCTAATATGTGCTCAGTTCATCCTTGCAGACACGCTGAGGTTATGAAAAAAATTATGCAAGCAGTCGAAGATGGTGGAGGTGAATTGCAAGTTGACATGTATTTGCTGGTGTTTTTGAAATTGGTCCAAGCTGTTATACCTACAATTGAATACGATTATACCAGACATTTTTCTTTGTGAATATGATTTATTGCTTCAATGAAATTTCATATTTTTGATCTGTGTAAATGTGAGTGTAATATAGTATCACACTCATATTTTTGATCTGTGTAAATGTGAGTGTAATATAGTATCACACTGGTAAAAATTTGAATGAAGTAAGAAAATGTATGCAGTCTGCAACTAGCCATGCATTTTCTTCACACTCAGTGCTGTATCGTATTACATTAAATCCAGATTATATAAATAAACTTATCATTATTCAAAGATTAAAAAGATACTTATAAGGTCTACAACATTAACCAGCCTTTTGTAACGGCTTATATTATGTAAAATGAATCAATCTATTTCTGATGCTTTGATTGTAATGTAACAGCAGGCAAAAATATAAATAATTCGCATGTGTTGGGGAAGAATGAGCAACAGAGTTGCATTGTTATAAGAATTATTGTTTTTTTTGCATTATTGAGTTGTATATCATCTTTTTGTCATGTCTTTTGGTGGGCTTTCGAAAAATAAGCATAAAATTCAAAACCACTGAAGGGTTGTCTGCCAAATAGATAAAGCACGGGGACCTGGTATTTTGCAATGTAGTCAAAGTATTCAATTTTTTCATATTTTTATCTTTCAAGGTATTTAAACTGGGTATATATATCATAAAGAGAGGTGACCATTTTTAATACAATAACACTATGTTCATGAGTTACATCATGTAATTATGTTTTGGAGAATTATTTCCTATCTCAATGTATTTGATCCATTTCCTTGGGCTACCCTGGTCATCTGTTGTCCTGCCTTGATTGCTAACTGACTATGTAACAATGTGTTTTGTTCTTTTTTATATTTAATTAGAAAGGTGATAATGAATTTGAAATTTTTGAAAAATCTTCGAAACAAAGCATTTCATGTTGTCATTAGAAAACATAGCAATGAAGTTTCCTCTAAAATCCGAAATATTGGAATTATTGCTCACATAGATGCAGGAAAAACAACAACAACCGAAAGCATGCTATATCATGCTGGCGCAATCAAAAGAATGGGGAAAGTTGACTCTGGAAATACAGTTACCGACTTCCTCCCATCAGAACGTGCTAGAGGAATAACAGTACAAAGTGCAGCTGTAAGCTTCAACTGGAATGATACTTGTCTTAATCTTATTGATACACCTGGCCATGTAGATTTTACTGTCGAAGTGGAAAGAGCGCTTCATGTCTTGGATGGTGCTGTCACAGTCCTAGATGGGTCTCGTGGAGTTGAGGCACAAACTCGAACAGTTTGGCGTCAAGCAGATAAGCTGAATGTTCCGAGAATCGTGTTTGTAAATAAAATGGACAAATCGGGAGCAGATTTTGCTGCTACTGTACTGTCCCTACAAGAAAGTTTATCAGCAAAAACTTTTATCATACAATTCCCAGTGATGACAAATGAATTTTCTGGATTAGTGGATATTGTTAATGGTACAGTATCGAAATGGCAAGCTATAGATAATCCAGATAGTTTTTGCACAGTGGCACTAACAGAAGATGATGACATATTGTGGAAAAATTACATAGGTTTAAAACAAAAACTTATTGAGCAACTAGCAGATTTATATGATGATATCGCCAATATGTATTTAACAGAATACACTGATCGCATAGACAAATTTCCAAGCAAACCACTTGTCACATCATTGTCTCACGCAGTAAAAAATTTCAATGCAATTCCTATATTATGTGGAAGTGCAGTAAAAGACATTGGCGTTCCCTCATTATTAGATTCTGTAATTGATTATTTGCCTTCGCCTGATAACTCTAACACAAATTTATCAATAAAAAATAAAGATAGTTTAGTGGGATATGCTTTCAAAGTTGTTCACCATAAAAGGTTTGGACCGGTTGTATTTATAAGAGTTCTGTCAGGAAGCATTTCAACTGGCAATAAAATTTTCAATGGCTCCAAAGACCATTCAGAAACTGTATCACAACTATACACAGTTTTTGCTGATGAATATAAACCAATTTCAAAAGCTTCAGAAGGACAAATTGTTGCAATAACTGGTTTAAAATTAACAGGAACAGGAGATACTTTATTTGAAAAAAATGCAGAAGCTAATGAGAACCTGGCACCAGTGACAATTCCACAGCCAGTATATTTTTGTACTGTAGAAGCAGATACCCAAACAGAGCTAAAAGCTTTAAATGGATGCCTCACTGTGCTCATTCGAGAAGACCCATCAATTAGAATAAAAATGGATTCAAACTCTGGACAAACAATTTTGTGCGGAATGGGTGAACTACACATGGACATTTTGATTGAAAGAATCAAAAATGAGTTTAAGACAAATTGTTATATTGGACCAATCCAAGTTGCATATCGTGAAACTCTTTTGGAGAAAACTCAAAGATGTAAGTTTTCCTATAATCGTACAGTTTTGGAAAAAACACATAACATAGAAATGGAATTAACTGCTGATCCTATTAAATCAGATGACATTTCAATTTCAACCAAGGTCACGGACATTACGCCAGAAGTTCGAATGGCTATCAAAGATGGAATTCTACAAGCTTGTCAGTCAGGGCCAATGATGGGATTCCCATTAATGAGAGTAAAAATTTCAGTACGAAAATTTAAAATGACATCGAACTCACCTAAAACTATAGTAACTGCAGCTGTAGTAAATATGGTCCAAGAGTTCTTTTCTCAAGCCAATTTTTGTGTTCTAGAGCCAATGATGGATATCGAAATTGTTACCAATTCAAACAAACTTGACCTTGTTTTAAAAAGTCTTGCCCAGAAGCATGCAACAATATCAGAAGTCAAAGGCTATGAGATTGAAAGATATGTATCGGCTCGAGCACCTGTCTCTGAAATGCTTGGGTTTGCATCTAAATTGAGGAGTATTTCATCTGGTAATGCAGATTTAACATTGGAAATCTGTGGTTATGAAGTAGTTTCAAATGAAAATATTGAGACTCTTCGTAGTCGATTAATAGGTGGTGTTTCATACAAATAAATTTTGCACTTTGATACTTTTTATTTTGGGTTTGTGGTATGTGGTGGATACAGTTAACTTCGTGCGGTCTACTAAAAGTCACAATGGACAAACTTATATAGTTTAGGATATGTCAGATCATATGACCTAGTCAGCGAGGATCCTCGTATGGCTAACCACTGCTCCAGGTATAGCTAACCAGTTGATGAATCCTAGATGCCTTGATTGTTTTTCCCTGGATAGTAGGATGGCAGAAAATGCATTCAATATAATAGAGGAATACACAAACACGAATTTATCAGAGGTGGGGTATTTTATCAATTTATCAATATATTGTGACACAGAGTTTTCCCTTAAGTTAATAACTATATGAATATAAGATCCCACAGGAGAATGAATACTAAGGGTTGCCCAATACCTTATCACTGAATTTAATATAGTGCAAAATTCTATACCTGTTTTTTTATGAAAGTGGGTGTGACCAACGACTGAAAATTTGTTCAATAATGTAAACGCCGCTCATAATATGCATTAAGATTAGTTATCGGCACATGCAATGCAAGTAACTATAATTCTACTTTAACTATAAATGAATATACGTTAATTAAAACTATGGATAAATGTATATAAAATACAAAAATCGACATGTTGAGTTTTACTAGTAATGAATATACAATACTCTATTACTACAATACTACTATCACAACATAACGAAGAAAAACGGTCATCCTAATAACTCAACAAAATTTGTGCAGTACAGCTTGATTATAAATGACCCTAACAACTATGATTTTGCAATATGATGCAAGTTTGACACCCGGATTCAATGGTGAGGAAAATATAATTGCAATGGGACAGCTCAATGATAGAAATATGTTGAAAGTTGTTCATAAGTAACGACTTCATAAAATGAATACTGATTTAAAAATGCAGTGCAAATTTTTTTAACAAATAGCCTATGCTATAAAGGCACTTTGTGTATTTGATCATCACAGGGTATAATTTTATATATGAATTTGCAATATGATGTAAGCATATTAGAAATACAAATTAAACAATAGGTTTGTGTACCCTCTCCTTGAATTTTCTCTCGATTCACATATTTAGGTCTTTTGTTGTTGTGTCATTTTCTGATGCCTTCATCAATGTGTAATGCGACACATATCACTGATAGCAATTTGTCAAAATTATGATTATAAAATACCCTAAAAGTTCTTTTTAGAAAATTTCAACACGGTGCGATTTCGAATATATCACTAGCTAATATGGTAAAATCGACCCTGCTAATAGTGTTAAAATTCCTAAAGCTTCTGCGGAAACATGTCCAATCAGGATACTTTGGTCAAAGATTCGGATCATCAATACTCTGTAAGAGCTGTGCACGTGATGCACCCGATCGTCGGTTCTGTCCAGGTGATGCACCCGATCGTCGGTTACTCTGACGTTTCATCAGGCTCCTTATTATTCAAACAACAGCCAATATTATTAGAATGAGGACTGAGACCCCAATTCCAACCCCAATGCATATTCCTGAAAAAAACATATCATTATTTTTATAATATTAAACATACATATTTTTCAGCAGGCATATAAAACTTTGTCAGGATATTAGTCTCCACAAACTTCGACTATGTGAATGCACTCGCATATTTTGTAGCATTCTCAGAATATTTCTTGGAACTTCCATCGGAAGAGAAATTTTATTTCAATCATTTCTGATTAGTTTGCCAATTTCTGTTCTGTACATTGGGTTCTGCACATTGATTACCGTAGTTCAAAAACAGCTGTGAAAATGTTTTCTGCACATCAACAAAGATTCTATTTTGCTATGGTAGTTGATTGTTTTTTTGGTTGAAATCAATTTTCAATCTCTATTCGGTATTTTGAGAAATTGTAGTTAGGGTACATGTTGACTGAAGATCATTAATTAAATAAATAAATTTACAAATAAAGTATTTAACCATGATTTGGAGATGAACTTGGTGTAGTTTGATCCTGCTGCTGTGGTAATTGGCATAGATTGGGTATCGTGTGTTCTGCTTGCAGTGTAGGCAGTCGTAGATGTTTTAGTTGACATTGTTATAATGGATGATGTTGTTGATTTAGATGTTGCTTGGATTGATTGAGTTGTTGACCTGACACTAAAGGGGTTAAGAGAGAGAGGATTACTTTTACCATTCATTGTGATTTAAAGCATGAAGAGATAACATACATTAGGATGTTTTGTGGAGATGTAAAGTCAAACAGATTACTTCCGTGCTTTAGCCACAAACAAGATATCACGATTGAATGACATAGCCTGCATTAGTAGAATATGATCAGAAAAAGGGCTATGAAGGAAGTGAATTCCACATAAATGAAGATATTGGAAAAAGACCTATAACATAAGTATGGCGGCTGAAGACTTTTTGGAGAAAAATGAAGTCATACTCGGTCGCACTAATGTTTTAAATATATAATAAATTGATGGAAATCACATGAGCAAAAACCAACTATAATCTAACAAATACCTATAACCTTTTTTTTTCAAATATGCTCACATGTCACATTCGTCTATTGGAATACAGTTTGTCCAAACATTTCTCTCTTTTCTTTGACTGCATGGCCCACATGCTTCGCATTCCTTGTGTTCGCATGACCAGTAGTGATTCTCACAGCATTGAAAACATCCAAAATCACCAGATTCATTGAACATGAGTCTATATGTGTCTCCAATGCCACAATCTGATTTCTGAGCCGAGAGAGAAAAACAGCAAACTTAATACCACCTTGCTAACAACGCTTAATAGTTGGAAGTATTGGAAAAAAAGCTTGTTATCACTCTACTGATTACTATGGGTTCACAGGTTTAAAACTTATAAGTTGAGTATTCATGAAAAGGAATTGCTGGACTCATCACCATTGCAGGGTCTGTGTGAATTGTCATCCCTCTATGCCAGTGGTTCTCAACCTTTTACTGACCACGTACCACTTTACTGTTTTTTACTGTGGCCGCGTACCACCGTACGTGGCCCATTTTTAGCGTGGGGAACAATGGCATTTATGAGAGCATTTTATAATGTGGCACTACATCCTTTGTGACCTAATTTGCAAGACAGACGAAAACATGCTCATCTCGATTCGTTCGTGGACAATAGCAGGCGAGGGCAATCTCTGAAAACAGGACTGGCCCATATGACGTTTCTTTGACTCTTGACCTCAGAAAAATTATTCCTATACTTTACTATTGCAAAATTTTTTATCCTTATTTTGAGAGCGTTTTGATGTGTTGTCGTTTATAACATGGTTTACATGTTGGAAACCCTAGTTTTTATTAATATTAATCAACCACGTGCCGCATACAGGCACTGATAGCTTAGTTTAGCAGCGTTTCCCAACCTTTTTTGGTCGCAGACTATTTTTTCACCGGCGAAAACCTTTGCGAACTCAACGTGCGTTTATTGCAACCTAAATGGCCTTTTCTGTCGAACAATATTCAATCCATGACAACGACAATCCATGACAACAACAATGTTTCTCTATTTTAATTTACTTGTGTTCATGGCCACTCGCGGTTGTGTCGACTTATAACAAGCTGAAAGCATTACTTCTTTAATATGCCACGGCAATCTGCGAACATAATAATGTGAGAATATATTGCCCGATTATATTTAGTTTTGATACATATTTTTTGCGATCTTGCGAATTTGTTATCGCCGTTAGAAAAATCCCACTATCTGCTATAAATTTCCAGAATGTACAACTTGATTCAGTACTTATTAAAAATATAATTAAAGTATATTAGTGAATCAAAAAAATGAATATTCATCGCCTTGCTTTGATATCAATTTAATTGTAAATTTTTAATCTGCGGTTGTGTTGGCGAAATAAAATCAATACTACTCATAAAATATCATGACAATCCGTGGACACAAAATGCGTGGTAAAGTGCCCGATTATATTTTGTTTTGATTCATATTTTCGTGAATTCGGAAAATCTGAGCTGTTCGTACAACACTCACGGTGCTTCGGTACTGTACGTACCAATGTGGAGGCAGCAAAGCAAAGAATCACAAAGGAAAACGCCCTGATACGTATACTACAGTAGCACCCAAAAATTTGCGATTTGCAACGTCTAAAAAGCGTTTTTAATCGGTCGTGGACCATCATAAAACAAAACTTGGTGTTCTCAGATTTATTTTTCGTATTTTGTATTTCCGCTTTTCAGTTTAGAAAATTTAGGTTGCCACCATTGACACTTACCAGAAAAAAAATTATTCCTTATTATTATGTAAATATCCACGCATGTGCCGACTCGTGTTTTCGTCGGAAATCCGCAAGTGAGCTGTGAAATCTGATCGTCGCGTGACCTGTCGCCTCACCTGCTACCAAATTTTCGATTAGTAAATTGCTATTCTAATACAGGGAGTCCTCGGGTTACGACGGTCGCGACTTACGATGTTTCGAGGTTACGAACGCACTTTACGAACATATACAGTTATAAAAGATAATACTGTACTGTAATATCTAAGCCTATAAACTGGATCATTGTGATCAAGAAAAAATCAGTGCTCTGGGCTCATTGGATTTCGTTATTTATATCGTAAATGACGTGACCAATTGCGAACTATTACGATTATGAACGAATAATCACTAAGCTTCAGTCACATGGTACAGTACAGTACACAGTTCCAGTGATACAGTACTATACACAGTTTCAGTGATACTGTAGTCATTTTGGTTGTTTAAGCCGGTTTTTTCGTAACTTGTTTGATCGTTTTATTTTTGCCCTTTGTTATGGACTCAAAGCAAAAAAAAGATGTTAAGGTACTGTACAGTGTTTGCTTTTATTCATGTGATGCGGAATTGTTTTCTGTTTTTCTAATAAAGTTCTTATTTGCATTATTTGAAAATTTTATTAGTGTACAGTACTATACTTTACAATACAGTACGATGTGTATAGAGTAATTCATGCACTGTACCACTGTACAGTACATTCGGGTTACATCGAGTCTCAGGAACAAAACTGCGTCGTAAGTCGAGGACTCCGTGTAGTTGAATTTTCGAATATATGCCTAGCCCTACTCAATATCCAGTAATATTGACTCGATTAATGTTATGTGAATGAACTTGCTTTTAATGTTTTATTCTAACCTAACTTGTAATTTTACTCAGTACCACAGGTTGAGAACCACTGCTCTATGCATCTGAAATGAATAATTGATTGGCTACACCCATATAAAACCATTGGTGTCATTCAAGAAGCCTTGTAACACTGACAAAAAACTTTCACATTTTCAATACTTCAGTGGCTATTAATAAAATAGTTCATGATATAAATTTAAGCATATATATAGCAAGCCATACATATTGAAATTGTCACATGACACAAAATTACACAGACTCTAAAACAGACTATAACAATTAAAGTGAGGCAATCTGGAAGACATTTTACAAATTTGCTAGGTGACTTATGTGATATGTCTGAGTAATCAGACTAGGAAATTTAGTAAATAGATTTGAACAAGCCATAATTGAGTTATTTTGGTGGCTTCTTGCACCATAGTTCAATTCTATGATCTATTACTCTATTCTATGCAATTGTGTTCGAAAAAACCATCACCATCTTGGATGATTACCGTATATACCTAAGCATCAACTATGCAACATAGGTTAATATTTATACAAAAATATTGTTAAATAGGATAAATTACCCGCCATTCAGGGGTCGTTCCTTTACTCTTATTTCCATAAGTTACGCATTTGTCATTGGGTCGTCTCACTGCTTTCACTTGTTTGGAAGAGGCACGTTCAAGCATTCTCAGATCTGTAGTTGGAGTGGAAATGAATACAAAAATCATCATAAATCAAAAATATTGAAAAAATTAATATTTTTAGAGAGCAAAAAATCTCCCTAAGTTTGACAGATGCACATAAATAATAAAATTGTTCAGAAATTCAAACTAAAAGACTAAGAATGGCACGATAATTACCTGTTAGTATAATATGAAAGCGATCTTGGCATTGGTATGTGAAAGCACTTGTAACATTGCGATAAAACCCAGCTTTGATTGTTTGTTGCCGATTTCCTTCGATACTGTTATCATAAGTTCTGTTATCATATCATAATCATCAACTTTTAGCACAAACAAAAGAAATGTAAAAATGTACATACATGTCAGATGCTGAACATATTATGGTTAAATCATGCAACTGAGAAATAATATTTGTTCCAGTTTCAATGAACAAAGAACTAGGTGGTTCACCATTGATGACTGAAATGAAATGAGAATATTACAAGAGTTCAACAAAAGAAAATGATAACAAAGCCATACAACATAAGTTTTTTAAATGATTCATGCAAACACAAACCAGAACAAAAATAAACCAAAAAGACTCAATCTGTTTGAAAATTCTCAACAATTGTTAACATCAACAGGATGCTACTATTTGTTTTGAAAATGCGAGCCTCTCTCCTATATCTGACTACCCTACGTGCACAAAACAGGCTTATAGCTTATGTCAGAATGAAATACGAAGTCCACATTAGGAATTTCACTTGATTCGTAGATCATAATTTAGAGTGTCAGTTAGATTCACTATCTTGAAAGAGTGAATTATCACCCTGAGTGGTAGTCATTGATTTGTCAAATGATCAGGATGGCTTTCCTCTCTCACACAATAGAAATAAAAGCATTTTTAAGATGAAACTGGACTTGGAGACAGGTGCCCATGTAGAATGTTCGACTTGATTTTAAATTAATTATATATGATATTAGGTAATTTTGAGTTCAAGAATAATCTAAAATACTATGGTTCCTCAATGAATTATCAACTTCGGCAATTGAAGTATTATATTAGGACCAAAGAGGCTTTCAATTAATCTCTGGTAATTAACTGAATCAAATCATTGTTTGTTTCAACTTCTCAGCATTAGTAAAATTAAAACTCCTCGAATATGGGATTGTTTGTTTTTGGTTTTAGTGGAAAATATTAAAAATTAGGTCATTTATTATCAAAGTGTTTTAGCATTATTTATTTAGAATTGTATCTTAGGAGATAAAACAGGAAAATACATATTCAAGTTATTAGTACCACGATCCTATTCTAGAAAGCCACTATAAATGATCAAGACATGATGATAAAATTTCTAGTCGAGTTTGGGTAGTAGAAATCACAGAGATAGCATGAAAGATAACCAAAAACTTACCCCATTCAGTCAAAACAAAATTTCTTTGTACACTGCACAATGTTGTTGCACTGTTTTTATAATGACTATCTTCTTCCAGATTCAAAATTTCATAAATTTGACCTAAAACATATTATACATTAGGTTTTCTCATAAATATACTACATAACTACTATTCATAACAGTGAAACCACTACAAACAGTCAAGCTCATATTAAAATGCCATTTCTTACAAACACATATATATATCTGAAATACATGCATGGGTTACAAATTAATTGAATTGCCAAATCAAATTCAATTAATTTAGAATTAACTTTATCAAACTATTAATTAACTCTATTTAGCATAATTCCCAGTTTCATTAGAATATATCAATATGAGCAATTGAAGTCTGTAAATATTATCAAAAATCCTATCTTCATATTATTTCTGAGAACCGTAATAAAAAAGTAACTGTACATATGAAAACTGGTCAAATCATCATTCATCTAAATATGCTAGTGCTGAAAGTTGTAAGAAAAAGCAATAAGAATATTAGCAACAGTTAAAAAAAATGATAATACACTATTACCAATAATCCTCCATATATATGTTTCATATGATTTTTAGAGTACCATATTATTTACTTACTGAAAGCATTCCTGGAGGTTGTAAATGTTGATGCATTAGGAACACATTCTATCCTAAAATTGTCGCCATATGATTCTTTTTCACCTGGAAAACAGATCACTTCCATGACTTTTTTCATCTGACTCTTTTTGTGAGCGACTGAAAACTTGAAATTGAGCAAAATTGAAAAAAAAGGGAATTTGCCAAAAAATAGGATTTTGTCCACTCGAATTTTAAATGGCCTCAAGAGATTTTTGATATCAAATAATCTTGCTATGTCACCTCATATTAATATAATTTGATGTTTCTGCTACTCTTTGAAAACAGATTTTCAAGGCTACAGTTGTCAGCGATGTTAGCATTATAACAAGTTTCTCACATTGGGCACTGACTTCTGGTGTTGTCCCGACACATAGGGAGAAATTTCAGAAATAGAGCCAATGTTAACCGTCTAAATTGCCATGTCAAATAACTGGCTACGCCATTGGTCTCAATCAGCCATAACCCACACACAGACTCAACATTTCACTAACATGCAAATTGGTGAGGTAGTTATTGAATGCCTCTGGTAGCCAACAGTTATGGTATTGGTACGTCAATTTACAAACTTCTACTGTACTTTATAAATGCCAGCATGTTTGAAGATACCGGTTTTGCAATACAATGTAATCATATTAACAGTAGAAGAGTAATAGAGTAATTAATTTTCTGAAACTTGAATAGATTTTAATATTGACTTTGAGACAGATCCCCAGGCAACAACTGCATATTGAATATGCTTTTAAAGAATTGAATAATAGATTTTTTGAAGTGTACTTTGGTATGCAAAATGTTAAAGTTTCTGTAGTGTGTGTGCCAGGTTAGGGATAGGACAAAAAAAATTCAGATTTTTTACATTATAGTTCTATTACAGTATTATGAGTTCGGGGACTGTCTGTGTTAGCCAAGTAAATAGTTTCTTTACACAACTAGATGGGCCGCGGCCCATAGCCTGATGGGCCGAGGCCCATAGCCTGATGGGCCGAGGCCCAATTCGATGGGCCGTGGCCCCGGCCCATGGGCCGCAGAGGAGTCACCACTCCCACTCTAATAAAGGACCCAAACATTATTTTTGAATTACTCGTTTTGTTTACTAGTTTCGATTGAAAGGACCTGCTAAAGTTGACAAAAATCCTACTCTAGATTTGATAATATTTAGATAACCTTAGAGAGGGCATATGCACAATTCCCAATTTTGTTATAATTATAAAAAGTAACCTCAATGATTTGTCTGGATGCCAAGCTGGAATTTATCAATAAATTTGTTTTTATAGCAAAAATACCTTAACCCATATTACAGAAGTTTTGAAGAAGAGGTAATAGGATGGTATTAGGTTGATCATTTGATTTTTTTTTATCACCCAATTAGTACAAAGATTAACTATGGCTCAATTGTATAGATAGGCATATTGAAGAAGGGACAATAATAGGCGAAATGTCAGCAATTTATTAGATAAAAGGATGGGTATTATATGCAGCACATCACAGGCCTTCCCTTTTCCGAGATAAGGTTGGTATAGAAAACTTCAGTCGTCATCTCGATAGGGGCATGGAGAAAACACATGAAGTATATATATTTGACGTTTTCAGGGGGAATGTTTACAATTGGTATACAATAAATACACCTGGTCATTTGGCTAAAGCCGCGAACAATAATATACGAAAAGATCTTGTGCAGTAAACATACAAGCTTCAAAACATTAGTGTCAGACGATTACATCACATTGTCATACTCTCTTTACCGTACACGTCTTTATTATTTGATTACCAGGCTACAATACAATAATGTATCATATTATTAATAGCTTACCACTTGCAAAACAAGCCATCAACATCGTCAGTTTTATCGTCCATTGCACCACTGACATTATTTCGAAATGCCTGTTATCGCGTGCACAACAATGAGCACACAACGCTTGTTAAGTTTGAAAAAAACTTTTCTATCCAACACAGTACTAACGCGCTTTTCGAGACAAGCACGTTCACGCTATTTTACTCTGGCTTATTTTGCGGAACCATAACTGTTGCGGTTTCCCAAGGCCTGTCGCGTTACATTTTGAAACACAGCACGTGGACATGACTCGCCAAATTTGCGCTTTCGTTCAAGTTTTACTGTTTTTATTTTTCTACTTTGCCATAAATGCACGCATTCCTCAATGGCAATATGAATTATCTTGGTCGTATCAATGAATATACCGTATGTATGTATTGTTGAATCCTACAGGGTGACCCCAAAAACAGAACCCACCAATTTTTTTGTATAGAAATAGAGCAAATTATTCAATTTCTTCGCACTTTAACATCTGTTTGTGTATGATTGTAATGAAAAAGTTTAAAATTAGTCTTGCATCCGTTGCGCAAAATGATCAATCACTCGCACGCTGCTATGGGAATTTTGGAACCGGCTTCTCATGTTTTGCACCTGGGTGGATGTGAAGTTCTCTGTGAGACTGTAATGACCCAGTAAACATTAATTGTTGCTATCGGCATGTCTAGACAGCAATATGTGCGCTTCAACAGGAAACTACGTAAGGATTGCTAGATATGTGCAAGTAATGCTCTATCTTCAATGCTAGGATAGAATAAGAAGGAAAGAGCAAAGCCGATAAGACGGCTTAACCATATGGCGGACCACGGCCACTCGTCCGGCTACCATTCCATGTCGGGTATGGGATTAGTGAGTTTATTTGTTTTCGGAAGCATGGACTTGGTGGTGCAGAAAGCCGTAACCGACCAGGGGTTACATAATCCACCCAATGGCGGAAAGGAGTCTAGCAATCCTCTCGCACATAATAATTCCTGCGTGGGATTCGAACTTGCGAACCCATGCAGTGTAATGAGAATTGCGGTGGCGAGCGTATTCCTAACGCTTAGCACGATGAGCCACACCGCCACGCGCTAAGGACGTCACTTGGAACCTATTCTTGTCGTAACCCCCGTTTGGAAAAAATGTGATGCGGAATTTCACCTTTCACTCAAACGCAACGTTGTCATTACTTATCGATCTTAAGATCGGTAAGTATGTTGAAGTCTGTTTGTTTGTCTGTTAGATGAACGCGATATCTCACGAAGGCGAGGTTGAATCTGCTCCAAGTTTTGCATGTGCATTCATCATATCTCGGACCTGAAGCCTATTAATTTTGGATGAATCATGTCGTATAATTAGCGAGTTATTGGTTGATTAGTGATGGGACACGCGGCGTCGCTATGGAATAACAGCGGATGAATCGAAACTGCAGTTTCTGTTTTGGGATCCCCTAACTTTCGATCGATGAGTCTTCGGTCTCCGACCAACATTCTCGTTATTTAATTTAATACGAAAATAACACAGACACGATAGAAATTAAAAGCATAAAAAAGTCAACTATTAGCTTTATAAATATCTTCATCACGGGCCAGTAATGATAATATTGTTCGCTCAAAATTGGGACCGTAATTTACAAACTGTGAAGTGGAGGATCAAATCTGACCCAGAAGATGAGATCAAAATGAAATTAATATGTTTATGAAGTCACTACTTAATAGCTGTCTTTAACATCTTCGCCGATGTGAAGTCACAGTTCTGCCTAAAATATAAAAATCAAACTTCGATGTTCGCCGTTGCGTGAGAATTCATATTTGAACGTGAAAAAAGTGCTTTAAAATATAGTTCAACAATAATTCAGATGTCGGCCGCCGAAACGATCGTATTGACAAAAACAATCCGCAATTGTGATAAAATCAGGAAGTAAAACGCCGCGTTGTTATCGAGTTTCCAGTATTCTAGTAATTTTCTGTTAAATATAAATAAATATTCGATTAGTAAAAATTCGATTTATCCTGTCACTAATCACTGCGTCCGTAATTACTCATTGAATAACAATAAAAAAAGTCGACTCGAATAACAATAAATTACCACACGTAATAGTAATGATCGTAACGCCACTGATATCCGCGAGTTATACTTTTCTCTCAAAATGAATTTTCTCTATTCTAATCATTTGTTTCTCCCCGGAAATAGCTGGCTCATTTATGGAACAATAAAAAGCTAACAAGGCGAACGGTTACCGATGATTGCGGATTAATTATTGGTCGACGATTAGGAAGTATATGCTTGAAACAAGACGTACCCAAATATTCATCAAACAACGACAAAGGGAGCAACATGCAACTCGTTTATCCGACATACTTTCGCTGACAAGTGTTTGTTTTTTAAACGCCTTACGGCGTCGTGAATTGCACTTTTGGCGCAATGTTCGTAACCCCCCAAATTTGGAAAAATCATGGCTGCCGCTCTGGCATGGTGGTATGCTAAACAGCAACCCAGATTGCACACTGACACTTCAATGGGTGAATTGAGATATCCAAGGTCAGTCGTAATCCCTGATCCCTTTTTAATAGCATGATTTCAGTCATATACTGAATCCAAACATGACCATAGCAAAAGTTACAGCTGTGAATTCCACACACACCACAACAGTCATTTTGTGGTGACTACAATAAATTAATGAGAAACTGAATGTTCGTTACATCAGTCATGAAGTATCCAGAAATACAGTTCCAGGTTGATTAATGAAGAAAGGTAACAAACATTATTCAATTAGGCACTTTATATGTTATACATTTGATTATCAGCTCATGCATTCAAAATTGAACACTTGGATTTGCATAGTAAAAATAAAAACACTACATGACTATTTGTCATGTAAAATTTACCCATTGACTATGACTTGTTATGTACAATTTTGGTATAACTTGCATAAAGTAAATCAATAGTGATTTTGGTTATATTTTTTTGATCAGAAAGCTGAAATATTGGCCATCTAATCATTTTCGTTCAGGCTGACTGGTAAATGGCCGGATGGCGATCTACTCAAATACTTTTTCGATAATATTGAAGCGATACAAGCTGATAAGATGAATACAATAAATGCAACTACAATCCCTGCCGACGTGGATGGTCCTGAAATAAAAATGGATCATTAAACACATCATAATAAATATAACTATTCCCTTGGCAGGAATGTGAAAAGTTCACAAAATTAGGAAAATAATTCAGCATTGGTTTCAGTACACTTCAATTATATGAATACACTTAGAAAGCAACAGCAGATTGAATTGCCAATGGCATTTAAAAATGATTATTGAGCCAGCCATTATGAATTAATTCAACCTAATGTAATAAAAGAAGCACCAACGCCCGATTTGTTGTTAGAAAACCTAGTGCGGCACATTTATTGGTTAAAAATAGCCATGGAAAAACACATCAGAGGAAATGTGGCTATATTTTCAATAATTTCCCATCTATATTTTAGTAGACTCATTTATTAACCTGTATCATTTTTTCATCCATTGCTATTCTATGAGCTTTTTATTCTAACTAAATACTACAGATTTCCTGTTAGAAAAAAAAGAAAACAGAAATCAAATAAATTTACAAACTGAATGGTTAACCTGAATTTGAGGGCGATATTGATGAACTTTGGTTTTCATGCTGCTCAGTTGTTGAAGAGGATGGTTTGTGATCTGCTCCTCTGCTTGTAGCATAGGTAGTGGTAGATGTCGTGGTTGGCATTGTTGTACTTGACGATGTTGTCGATTTAGATGTTGAATTAAATAATACTGGGGTTGGTTGAGTTGTTGACCTGAGACACAATGAATTTAAGAAAAGTTAATTTGTGTTTACCAAATTGTTCATTTGTTTTTTAAAAATTAGAGAATGCTATAGGTATTTTGCAGAAGCATGAAGAGCATGAATTGTTTCTTCTCCTATAGTGATACACCAACAAAAATATAGTTTGGAACTATATTTCACAATATTTCACATTCATTTGTTTTTATCACTATCGGTGTTAGAAAATAGACTTTTCTATATTTAAAATATTCTCACCTTTCACATTCATCCTCTGGAAGACACTTTGTCCAAACGTTCCTCTCTTTTCTGTAACTGCATGGCCCACATGCTTCACATTCCTTGTGTTCGAGTGACCAGTAGTGATTCTCACAGCATTGAAAACATCCATAAGCCCATTTTTCATTAAACATATATCGGTATTCCTCAGAGTCACAGGCTCTTCCCTAAAACAAGTTGGAACCAACCAACAATAGACTCAAATTACGGCACATTACCTCACTGATTATTCTATTTTTTCAAGATTGTGAAACCATGTTATGATTAAATCATTTTGACTGCGTACCTCTCCAGGATACAAAACAATTTTACACTGGAATGATTATGAGCATAAACTATATTTTACAAACAGTAACTACAAGGACCATGCTTTATATACAGTAAAACTAGAGTATTCTCTGGCTTATCATGCTATTTAAGCTAGCATTTATTATAGCTATTTGATGAATAAAATAATTTACAAACCAGCCACTTAGTGTCAGTTCCTTTACTACTATTTCCATAGGTTACACATTCATCAGTAAATGGCCCTACTGCTCCCAATAGCTTGGAATGGTCAGTTTTAAGTAGTCTCAAACCTGAAGATGACCAATACAAAGTAAAAAGAACAAAATTATAACTTATGAAATGAAATTGAGGTAACCGTAATCCCACTAAATTTGATTCATTAATATAAAAACAAAACAAAACTAATCACAAAAAGAGCACAAGGCTAGTAATATTACGCTAATCACCTGTAAGTATTATCTGAAAATCTTGGCATTTGTATGTGATACTTCCAGTCACATTGCGGTAAAACTCAGCCTCCATTGGGGGTGACCAATTTTCTTTGTTACTGTTATTATATAAACATACTCTATTTAAGTTACCTTAGTATTCAAGCAAAGCATTTTCCACAAATGTGGCATTTAAATTTTGAGATACAGAAATATTCAAAGAAAAGGAATATTCAGTTTGCTAATACATGTTTTTGAAGTGGTTGAAAATTTGTGATATATATTTCTCCTAATATTAAGGAAATCCAAATGTTGTCTCAATATACTCATCATTGTATCTGTGTGCTTTCATTTCTATGGCACTGATATTAATGGAAAACACAGTAAAATGAGTTGTTGAATCGCAGTTATCGGCATCAGATTTAGAAGGAAAAAGTGACAAAGATGCTATGAAGTCATATTTCAGACATATTAAAAACATTCTGGAATTTCATGCCAAGCACCACATTTATTCACATGATGTATGTTATGTTAGTAACAGGAAGAACCTTTTTTACTGTTGTGTCGAACAGTTTAAATCATAATTTATAGCACCCAAGGGCCAAAAAGTTTATCATGAGCAAATAAAAATATAATTGGAATTATAAAATCAAGCATATCTCAAAATCATGAAGACACTTTTAGCCTAAACATAAAAAACATAAAAGTGCAAAATGAACATACATGTCAGATGCCGAACATATTATGGTTGAATTATGCAACTGAGGGATAATCTTTGTTCCAGTTTGGATGAACAAAGAACGAGGTGGTTCACCATTGATGACTGAAATAAAGTGAGTTTATACAAGAAGAAAGAAAAATAATAACCAAGCCATGCTACATAGTTACTCAATGATGCATGCAAACATAAAAACAGAATGATAAGAAGTCACCAACAAATGTTACTATCCACAGTGAAAACAAAGACTCATGTTTGTTAAGTCTCAACACATTGGCCGTACACTACAGAAGTACAGATTATTGTTGGTAAAGTTGAGTTTCTAACTTCTGAACACCGTTTTTGTGGAAGATATTATTTTTAATTGGTTCATAAATTGTAATTGAGTGTCTGACTTTGTTAGAGTCGATTGCTTTGATATAGCAGATGTCCAGAATGAATCAAATATTTGGAATGATCCAGTAATGTATGATATAATAAATATCCGAGTTTCCTAAAAATTGTCTAACTGAGGGGTATAGGAGAGAGACCCAATAAATCTTCAGTCAATATCCACGAACTTGAGAAATTCAAAGGTTTTTGAATATAATTGAATTGAAAAATATTATCGTAGAATATATTACGTTAATTAGTTCACTTTGGAAAATCCTAATTGAAGCTAAAAAAACATATTCATATTCACAAGCTCCTATGCCAGCATGCCATTATAATTGAACAAACTTTGGTACATTAAATTCTGAGAGATGGAAATTTTAGAGTTAGGGTGAATGATAATTAAAACTTACTCCATTCAGTTGCAACAAAGTTTTCTCTGCTTTGTATATTACACAAAGTTATTGCTGTATTCTCATAATTATTACCATCAACTTTCTTGGAGTTTAAAACTTCATAAATTTGACCTGAAATGTATTATATGACTAACTTGTAAATAGTTGTCTCCATTTGTTGAGTGGAGCAAAAATAGAAATGCAACTTCTCACAAACACATAATTCTGTGATAGAAATTGACTGGAGTCTGGAGCTTAAGAATAAGTTACAAAAACCTTTGGCAAAAACTACGAGTTGACAATTTGACACTCAATATGAAACATTTCGTTGTTTTATTGTTTTTCTGCCAGCCTCACCAAACCGAAAAGGTAGCAAAAGCTATGTTGCTTTTTCAATCGATTTATCTGCCATTATTGCGAGTTTGATAAGTGTTATGTTAAAATTTCCGGCAAAGTATTGATGCAGAGTAATCACATTTCGCTATTCCGGTTTCGATTAGTCACAAAAGCACTCTGCTGAATCTTGCAAGTGTCAAAAACCTTAAAATCTATACAGGGGGTTTTAGTCCACATCGTTTCCCTCATGGATGAACAAAGTTAAATGACTATTATCATACTTGGATAACGAAATAAATAATTCTTAAAACAAAAATATTAAGCCTGCTATATTTCCAATTTTTTTTTAACAGAGTCTAATTTAATTCAGGCAGTGTTGCATGATAGTCCTCCACATACCATATTACATGGAAAATACCACAAAGAAACCTAGAAAGGAATGGTTTGGTCACTTCGCACAATTCGGTAACATGTGAAAAGTTGATAGGTGTGGAAGCCTGCATCTTTTGAATCTTTGATTGAATTTTAACTTTGAGTAAGTCGCAATGCTGCTTATGTGTTTGCTTTTCAATACATTGATATTTTCTGATCTAATGATCTGCCATCTCATTTCAGAATGTATGATTTATTGGTGACAAAACCTAGGACCCCTGTACTGTTTTGAAGAAAAATTCATATTGAATTACTATCAGAAATGTGTTATCACTTTTGAATATGCTTTTTATTCACAAAGAAAATAATAAGTCAAAGATCTGTATGCCGAAAACTGTATATAACAAATTGCTATTCTATTGTCTTATTTTATAATTTCAATGTATTTCACGCTGTCAAAAACAACACAACACACAAGCAAAAAAGACACCCAATAAAATGAGACCTTGTATATATTTTTCCTATTTTATTTTTATTCCTTATGTCAGTTCAATATTGCCAATTCACAAGGTCATTTTATTTGATGTTATCGGTACGTCAATGTAAGAAAAGCCACTGAGTTAGACAGAATCAAGTCAAGTCCATGCATGTGAAGCGAATAGCTGGTAACTTTTTCCAAATCCTGGTGCTGTATAAGGCCATGGTTCGCCATATGGATGAACATTTTTATTAGCTTTCCTAAAAATTCTTGCTTACCCATTACAACATCTTAGTATTCATGGTTGAGAAATAGGGCTATGAATAAGTGAAAAGAATCACCAAATTTGTATCACTTTTACGGTAAATCAATTTTATTCAAAAGGCATCATTTCACTTGAAAATAAATTAATGATAAGCTATCATCTGGTACTGCATCATAAAATTGAGAAGAAATGTAATATTCTTACCAAGAGCGTTTGCATAAGATGTAAATGTTGACTCATCAGGTACACATTGTTTTTCAACATTGTCGCCATATGACTGGTTTTGTCCTATAAAATGGAATAAAATATGGCCTGATTGAGGTCAGTTCATAATGATGATATTATTTTCCAATTGGACCTCTTTACAAGCCATTGTAAACTTGGAAAAATACTGAAATTTCACATGAACTTTAGGGCTTAATTTGAATTTGCTAAAAATAGGGTTTTGTCCATGAATTTGCGAGGCACCAAAAAATTTACCTCATGAAGTCATGCGAGTTTAGAATAAAATTGATTTGATTTGAGCAAAACTCTTGATTTTAAAATACTAATGCTGAGCCTCTTTTATATCCACGGTTCCAAGACTATAGTATAGTATTATGTCCCATTCAATTACCACACCATATTTAATTACTTTATTGGTCTTTGTTATCTTATAGCCGCATCAATGAGAAATATTGCTATTGCCTTTCTCGCCATTATAAAGCATTTGATTCCTTCTATAGCATGTGACTGATATAAACTGATATATACATCTGGTTAAGCTGACATGTGTTAACTTCACTGCAAGTACATACTTTGACATATCAGTGTTTCATGTAGCTTATCAACCTTTTTTAAAATGGTACACCATTTCACTGTTCAGTGTTCACTTAAAGTCTGATATAACCTCCTAATCTACATCAACCAATAAAAAATCATATTGTGCCAGATGGTTGCTGGACTTTCCATCACAGGATGGAACCGCTGGTCAAAGCAAATAATTGACATGCTAATAAAACATAAGTGGATTAAAGTAGCAATTAGGATGAAATATTTAATACAATGAATATAAATACAGAAATATGGGAATCATTGAAGGAGTCATCAACATTCTGCATTATAAACATGCATCTGATAGAGCAAATATTTGGATCTTAAATTCAAATTCCCTCCTTTCTTCCGTAACATGTCACCCTAACACCACTACTTATGCTACTTCATCTGTTTTCAGCGTGAGATTGGTTTATAATGACTCAGGTATACCGGTATTACGGCGAGTGTACAACACATTACAGCAGGGGTGTGCAACCTTTTTTGCAGGTGGGCCAAATTTCAATAACTGGGTGAAACAGCGGGCCGCACCGTCATTTAACATAGGCTTTCAATTAGTTGCAGGAACAGAATAGTGTCTTTTTGTTATTGATCTCATGTCATCATTAGGGGTCCTTGCAGAAATGATGATTTGAAACGCATGATATATATTCTCAAAACTGTAATTCAAATATATATATTTTCACACCCAATTTAAACGAATTCTGTTGGAAATTTGCTGCTGGATTCTTCCAGACTACTTTTATTTATCCAAATTTGCTTATATGGAAGTGCTAGCAATTCGATATGACGCCCATTTTAGAAAAAAATATGTTATCGCAAAGTGCCATATTTGAAGCCATGACTTTTTTTAAATGTAGAAAGTTATCTTGGTGTTTTCAGTAAGAATCATTTTCGAATAATTTTTGGTCAAGTCTTATTCTAGTTTAGATTTAGACAAAATCAATTGATACACTGGAACCAGAACTAATTTAGCTCTTGTATCTCTATATATCATTTTTTTTAAAACTGCTTGCCAGTTGCCTAACCTTCAATTGCCCGTTCCCACAAATTCAGTAGCGTCTGCTCCGTATTTTCCTTAAATTGTTCCCTGCTCAGCAAGGAACAGCTTTGCGAATCAAGTTGTTTGTCTTGCTGTCAGACCGTTGTAACGTCATAGGCATAGATAATAAATTGGACTCGGATATAAGTTTGCAACGCAAAGAGAACCAGATCCAATTAAATTGCAAAACTAGTTTATCTGGCCGCGTACCATTCAAAATTGGCACTTCTCCGCGGGCCGCGTAATTTTCCCTTGCGGCAGCATTTGGCCCGCGGGCTGCACTTTGCACATCCCTGCACTACTGCAATACCGTTATGATACATTTGTAGCACATAAGCTAATTTTTATAATATATCCGATTTTATGTGAAACACCCAAGTTGCTAAGTCCACCCTATTGACACAATCAGTTGAGTGATCTAGCACAATCAGTCAATGTATCTAGAGATCTTTAATAGGTGACCTCCATTACCGGTACCTAACAAATAGGCCAGCATAATTACCGTACCGGTACCTAGTGCAAAACAATATTATGATATTACCGTACCGCCGTACCTTACCTCTGGCAAAGCAAGTCAAAAACAGCATCAATTTCACGCTCCATACTATCACTGACATTATTAACGAATGTGAGTACGGTATCTCGTTCGCTGATAACTGGATAAGACTGTGCGGTAAGAAGTGTTATTCAAACACTGAAGAGTATGGATGGCACCGTACTCGCGGGCTACCGCACTTGTTTTCGATTTGCGGAACCATACCTCGGGGGAATACCCAGGATTTTCCATTAGGAATGCCTCTATGGATTTGTGAAACGACAAGCGAGGCAGTGAATAATTCGAACACGATTGTACGCCACCGCAACAGCGGTATGGTGTATTCAGTTGTATTCGGTAGTATTCAGTTGTGTTCAGTTTTTGTATTCAGTTTTTGACAACACCCTGACAGAATAGTGTTTCTTAGAGATGGTAGTTTGGAAGGACCTTGTTCTAACATACGGTACCGGTACATTGCAAAATATTGGCTAATAAAATTAAAACTTTCAATTATAAACTTATGTGGGACATTCTTTCAATAAAAGTTAAACCAAGGATTAGACGTGTTACTGGAAATGATTTATGTGTACTTTGTTCTCAAGAACCAGAATTTATATCTCATTTATTTTGAAACTGTGCTTTTACCTAAAATGTGTATGATTATGTTTTTTCTGTTGTATTAAAAATAAACAATTGCAAGTTAAAAAATAATTATAAAACATGTATTTTACTAGAACTAAATAATCAGTGTCTTTCACATTTATCATTAGTTGAACGTAATGCAGTCATGCTTCTTCTGTGTACTGCAAGATATAAAATATGGTTGGAAAGTAATGCAGTTATTTTTTAAAATGTTAATCCAAGTGTAAATAATGTCATAACAAGAATTAGAAAATCCCTTTCAATATAGAACAATTTAGACATGAACCTAGTTTTATAAAAGAACTTGACATAATTTGCAAGAATCTATGACTAATTGTATAAATTTTTATTTTTCTGCTGTTAATAATTAAAAAACATGTAAATTAATGTATATTTACTGATAAACATGGGAAACTTTATCTGGAATCAACAATGGAACACAATGGAATAATATGAATTGCTGGATAATACTGGATGATGTTTATGAATATATTTGTTTATTATATGTAACTATGTTCTATGTTTATTATTTTTTCATCGTTTATTTATTTTTACAAAACTGTTATGAATCCACAACATGGAACTTAGAAAATAAAAAAAATATAATATACTGATTATTATAATGATATCAGCATGACGAATGAATATATCAATGGAATAGGCTACTGTACCAGTATATTATTTAGAAATAATGGACGGATGTTATATATTTTCTCTCTTATTATATATAATTGTGTAAGTAGTATAACTAGTATTCATATATCATCATTGATATTTGATTACTGAATATTCCACATTGAAACCAATCAATAAAAATTTTTAGTAGTTGAAAAAACACTTAACTGCTGTCATTTTTAGATTTTATCATGTCATCATATCCGAATAATTATATATATATATATATATATTATCGTTATAATTGAGACACTTCTGTATAACACCAGTATACAGTAGTACTGTCAGACTGTGAATATATCGTTTCTATAGTGTGCCACTCTTCAACTTCAGTAGTCTAATAATGTGGTGGCTATCTAGTTACGGGCCTGTGAATATTTGCTCATCGGTCATATGGAGTACATTATTGATATACCTCACAGCACCATATTATGGTGAGTGATAAAAATATTTATTCAAACCAAAATAGAATCCTGACTAGCTTGAAGTGGGAGTGTATGAACTAACAAGACCATTTTTAGAAGTTACATAACTCTAAAAAATTCGTTAAGCATCTTCGACTTACAAAGTAATGTTATAAGATTTTAAAGATAGAAAATTAAATCGAAATGTTTCATACTAATTTTAAATATATTTTGAATAGATTAGCATTAGATTATATATCAGATTTGGTTTATGTCGTTGAATGTTTAAAATAGAATGATTTATAATATTGATTTGAAGAACATAGTTATTAGTTATAGTTCCTACAAGTTGTTTTAAGAGAATGTGCTTGACGCGAAATTATGTTTTCTTACACAGATATGAAGGAAATTGATGAGCCAAATTTTATGGAGCTGCATCATGCGGTAGCAAAAAAGAGCCCTATTAAGCCTGATATCTTATATCTGCTTGTAATAATTTTTGAACTAAAAAGTTTTGTTTTTACAGGCAGATTCAGAAATTGGAATGTATCGCAGATGGTGAAAGTTCAAATATTTTGAGTTATGGTAAAAATACAATTTCTAACATCTTTAATTGTTGCATTTCAAAAAATAGTATTTTGTTTGAGATAGTTTGTAATGTATTATCTCTCTCAAAAAAATTACTGCCCGACTACAATTTTACGTAACAATCTTCGCTTTATATTAAATTGCCAGTGTGATACAGTTCTATATTCCTCACTCAATTTGTATATCGCATTTTATATTTTCAGCAGTAAATATGCACTAACTTGTAACTCGTAAGTTCTGTTCAATTGAGTTTACCTAGAATCTTAATGTGCTTGGATTGATCATATTTGTGTAATGGTTGTCTTAACTCCACAACTACTATTGGTTTTTTCATTCTTGTCTTCACCATGAGATGTTATATAAAAACTGATTACTACTATACCACATTTTTGTATGACATTTTCAAGCCTTCAATCCAAACAAGGCTCTGTATGAGCAATCATAGAGTTATAAGACGGTATTATTTTACGAAAGACCGGACTCTTTCTGGTTCAGTATTGCTTATCCAATTTATTGCACTCATAGTAAGGGGTTGGGCATGGATTCCAAATCCAATACCTTCAACCTTAGATACCTAAATAATCAATCCTGATGGCTAGTTCTTTGTCCCCTCTACATTTAACATATTGCTTTTTAACCAATCCTCTCTACATTGTATTGAATTTAATACTATGATATTAATATGAATTTTAAACACTTTTCAATACACTACCAGTGACATTCTATTTGCAGGTCGAATTGCTTCTCTGTTGAGAGAAGGGTATTCCAACCATGGAGATTCGGATCTTTTATTATGTGGCATTCAGTCATTGGAGAATGAGTTGAAATATGCAGAAATTGAACTTAGTTAGTATGATTGCTTATTATCGTAACTCTTTAGTATCACCCGTAAATCATGCAATGTTATTTGCTATGCAATATTTAAATTAATATTGTCTCAAGTTGAATGTTTATTAATTTGTGTTTTGTAAGCATATTATTTCTTCAATTTTGTCTTTAACAAAATACTTTGGTGGTCTTTTTTTTCTACATTGCATGGCTTCATTGGTTCTATTTTCTTCAATCTTTTTCATTTATATAATAGATGTTTTTTTTTCTGTGTTGCACCTTGGTTCTATTTTGCATGGCTTGTATTCAGTTCTTCCGTGGGATTCACCAACTGTCCTTCAGATCCATTCTACAACTGACCTCCTTTCTCAATTATCATCATCCACAATCACATGTTATACTGAGTACATGTATGGTTATTTTATTTTACTATATTTTCTATACCTTTTTTCATACATTTTTTGTTCATTTTATATCCAAAGTAAACGTCCAAAGTCCAATTTGCATTAATTTCATATTTCTTGTTGTGACACCTTGTTACAAAGTATGATTTGAACGGCTGTGCTTTATTGCCTTTAAACAATGATGAGCTGGAAAAATCGTAACAACCAGAATGCACCTAATTCGCAAAAACGTAAATATATTTACAACACGACGAAAGTCCTATAAGATAGAGTCGAAAAACTGCAATAAAATATGAAGAAATTATCTGTAATATGTCTGTGTAATATTACAAGAATATTCATAAAAATCTAATACTAATGTTTTTTTAGAAAGGTATGGAATGAATTTTCATGGGGTCAAAGGTCAAAGAAACATATTATAAAACGTAACTGCTGTACTAATTATTTGCGTGATGTGATGTAAAGAGAATTACAAATTATAATGTAGTTTTTCTTCTATTGCATAATATTGTACCATGAATTTTGTGTCGACTCATTTGTATATACATGTTACTCACATCTAAACACATATCACTCCAGTTATCTGTGATTTGCTCAAAGTATAAATATTTTGGATACATTGAAAGTTATGACTTCATTGTGAATAGTGTTTAATTCAGTTGATTGCTATTTGTTTTAATTTTATTAGAAAACAATATAGAGAATTTATCTGCTCCTGAAATGTAGGATATTGAAAAAAAAACTAATTAATTACACACCCTACATTAGTTCATGAGAGCTTGATTCAAGATGCTTGGACACCAAGTTGGGAAATTACATTACATTGCTGATTCAGGAAATCATTTTACTTCCTATATGTTTCATTATGTATTATTATGTTTATAGAAAGGAAGACGATAGAAGTAGCAAAAATTTTTATCATGGGCTCAAGATGAGTGGATCATTCAAATGCAATACTGATGAAAGCATGTTTACCATAGTGATGACAAGTGAGGAATAGTGCTATCATTTCATTTATTGCGGAACAATACACAGGCACAGCCCTATAAGGACATTTCTGATAATGTTATTACATAAATAAATAAACTTGGGCATAGATCTCTACAGAATTTGAATTTGGTCCTAGTGTTGTCTGAAGATATACAGGGTGTACTTCATGGAAACACTGTATGTAACCCTCACTAGAAATTTAACTTGCAATTCAATGAATATGCAATATCAGTATCTATGAATGCTGAGTATGCAAGAACTTTTGAACTTCTTGCGGCGAGTTGGTGGTTGATAGAGCCATTTCATGGCACCAAAAATGTATCTCCATGCCACAAACATGAATCATTTATGTAATCTTGAAATATGACTCAAATTACACATTATGAATATCAGTCTTATATAAAGGTATACCGATTGACATCGATTTAAAAAGAGTTTTACCCTAACCCATTTTACAATTCAATGTGTAATATGTTTATTACTAAACCATTTTGGGATATATCTTTTTTAAGGTTCACATGATAAAATTCCCCCGCGATTTGCTCGTCAATATCCTGGAAAAGTTGATCACAACAGACTCTTGTCTAGCAAAATAAAAAGTGAACATACTATTGAACATAGTTGTGTACGATTTGCCAATAAACCAGTTAAAGTGAGTGGATGGACGGTGAGTATCAGCAAAGCACAATGAACTTGTTATAGTCATTACATTTTTGTGCTATTTGAGGACAGTTGTTCACAATGAGTAAAATATGTTATTAATATTAAATTAGATCTATGAGCTATTCCAAGTGACTCCACAGGACAATTCTAGAAATTATGCATGTTGTTAGATGCAATATATTTTTAAATTGCCAGCTATATGTTTTGTATCATCGTCCAATCGGTTGCTTTATGGGGTGCAAAACTGCATGAAAGTTACACACAAAACTTACTTGGTGATATCAAATATATATTAAAATATAGCATGAACTTTCATCTGTTACGTGATAATATGCTGTATCAGGCTTGTTCAGACTCGAATACTGTATGCCCAATCGTTTCTTGTGCATGTACAGTACTGCATTAGTCCTGTTGAAACACACAGCAGGTGCTGCATGAAACTGATTCAAGGCAATTAATTGACCATCCCTGATTTGTACGATCATGGCTGAAAAATGTTTCCTATCATAGATATATGCTATTTACAATTATTTCATAGGGACATGTATGTGAAACTAACATTACACAAAGATATATGTACAATGAAGATGGCATATTTGGATGCTCCCAATGTTGTACAGAGCATCATTGGTCAGGTCTAGATGATCAATGTATGCCTTGTGGTCCACACAGCACTCAACCTGAACCAAATGTGTGGAAAGATTGCTATCCAAGATCAGATCATGTTATATCATCGAATGATGATAAGGGAATGATTCCCTACACGACGCAGGCAAAGACTACGACTGAAACAACACCTGGTATAGTTACCACAACACAAAGAAAACCAGACAACTTCTTGACTACTGATCTGAAACGTATAGGTCATTCTTATTTTTTTTTCTTCATTATGATTTTGAAATTGATCAAATTTTAAATATCAGGCATATGATTGGTATTTTTTATATTATTTTTTTCTAATAATAGAATTACTCTTTGAGAATATGTGCATCTAATGACAATTGTTTAACGGCCCATTTAGTGGGACATAGCATTCATTATTTTTGGTATCAATAAGGTGACTGAAAAGAGTCTTAGCTTTAACTCAACAATAAGATCTGTATCCGTAATAAAGTATATCCAAATAGGAGAATTGTTCATCAATAATTGTACATCCATTTTGTGTTATTTGATATCGGAGACAAATAACATTAATCATTTTTTATTTAATCACAGTAATAAAAGTACCTGTCAAAGCTCCAAAGCATATTGTTGTAAGAAATGTGACAGCAACCTTTGCGTGGGTTTCATGGCGAAAGATAAGGTCAACTGAAGAGGTTCCCATTGAAAAATATAAGGTTAAAAACTTCAACTACTCGTTCATTTACATGAAATTTGTCATTGTGCAGTTCTTATATTTGTTGAAAAGTTTACATTATAATTCAATTATGCTAATTCACTTATTTGCTTGAAGTTGATACCCAAATATAAAATATTGAGTTGACATATAACTCGATTTCCATATACTAAGTGCATGTTTTACTAGGATTACTTGCATTACCTGATCTTTATTCGAGACTTTCTACACCATGCGAGTACATCTGGAATATTTGACTGGTTATTTATAAAAAGCACTCAGTTCAATCCCAGGGATGGTGAAGCTTTTTTCACGAATGGGTCAGAAATTATATTTTTAATATTGGAAATGGCTGTGGGTTATAGATATTTCTCAATTTCTTTTTCATCGAAGAGAAACTTGCTATTGCCACTTTTCTGCAGTCTTATAAGCCTTGGTTGGTATTGTGTAGTTTTGGGCTTTATTGCCTCTTCATACCATTATACTATGGTAATTCACTAATTGTTAGTCACACATAATCAAAACAATTATTATATGCAGGTAAAGGTACAAAATATCAAAAGCAAAAAAATACACTATTACAAAGTCATTGATGCAGACATTAAATTGAGGAATCTGAAACCTGATTCCCAATATAAAATTGAAATAGCAGCTGAAAACTTCAAAGGTATGCCAATAAATGTTTATATGACGCGTTTCAATTTATACAATTTTCCAGAGATAAACAATAACATCTTTTGTTGGTTAAAAGGGCAGTCATAAGAGTAGCAATCAATAACGTAAGGAATGTCGTTATCATTTATTATCGTTTTCGTTTAGCGTTGTATTCACATAGTGTTTTCCAATATCGGTTAATCGTAATTTAGAAAGTTAATTTTGTGACGACAGCCGCTCAATTTTTTTTTGTTAGCGATAGTTCAACGTCGGAATCGAAAATTCCTGAGCAACTGCTTCTGAAACAGTCACCACTATCACGCCACTGGTTAAAACAGCCAACTTTTTCAGCGGATAGTGTGTTTTTTGTTGTGTAAAATATTAAATTCATTATGGATACCAGCATTTAAAATATGTTTCCATATTAATTGTGTTCATTGAACTTGCAGTTGCACCCACATACAACAACATCTTCTACTCTGAAATATCACAATTTGTGGTAAACTGCCTGAACTGTCAGTTTTAATAATTATTTTTGCGATCTGGCAAATTAGTCCCTGCTATGCAATCATCAACAACGCAATGATAATAAAGGAGTGAAACTCAAATTGTCTACCAAAATTAATACCAAAAAATAAACGAAAAACACCTTGAACTTTCCATTATAGGTTTGACAGATAAAACAAAACACTATTTTCGACACTGTAAATAGCAACATTATGTTTATTAACCTTAGAAAAATGAGGTTGAAACACTGGTTACTCTTCGCATTATATCCATTCCTAGCTGGCATAATAACGATGTTAACTCCTCAAATAAATATGTTACGCCGAAGAAATCAATCGACAATACGAATAAAATTAGCCTATAAAAATTGCACACGTTTATCGTTTATTGGCAATATTTTGCTAGTCTTGCTGCCATTGAAGGCTACACACTGTATCACAAATGCATTGCTGTAATGTTTGCGTTAGTGTGCAGCTAGCCTCCTGAAGTTCATAAAAGATATAGAAACTACGCTTGGAAATTTCATTACCAGAGATATTGTACTTCCGATATGAGTAGTCAATATTCAAACATGTTTTATTGGATTAATTTATAAGTGGTATACTTGAAGACAAGAATTCTTTATTTTCATTCCTAAATTGTGGTGCAACTCAAGGTTAAAACAAACGCCCTGGTTAGATGGGTTAAATAATATATATTTAGTTTTACATGTTAACTTTGTTATGTATATTATCAGGTGTTGGTCCATGGAGTAAAGTACAAAAATACTCAACACTGCAGTTACCTCCTCATATGAATGTCAAATCAATCTCAAACGTGGGTTCTCGGGTAAAAGTTGTGTGGAAACCAAAAGCTGATGATGACAGATTTTCGGTTGTGGTATTCTTTTTACCAGATTACCATTTCTTCATTCGTATGCACATGAACACACATTTTGTCTATTCCAGGATTATTCTAAATCAGTTTTTTCTTTGCATAGTTTGTATTGCATTATTCTTGTAAAAAAAAAATCTGACCAAAGGTGAACCACCTCAGTATGTGGATTATTATATCCAAATATATAGAGAACTGATCATAATAATGCAGATGCATTGGTTTGGTTGGAACAAGAAGCCAATTGCACATGCTACCTTGTTTAATAATGTGCATTTTGTGAGGAGAAAGTTCCCAGATGATCAAGTATTTTCACTCAACTCCTTGCAGGTGGAGTATTGGCCAGATGCACAGGGAAATAAGCTAACGAAGGTGACAGATTTCATCAAGACCGTTAATGATAAAGAGGCTACTATATTCTTTAACCTGACAACCGAGGGCCAATATTATGTTAGAGCATATTATTATGATGAAAATGCTGGAAGTGGTCCGCCTTCACGACGATTCATCAAATATGAAAGAAGTAAGAATACACTAAATACAATTAAATGTCATATAGTACTTGCTAGCATTTTTTGTTTATGATGGAGTCATCATTAATTGGTAAGGTCCAACTGGACAGCCTTTGACAGAATATAAAAATCTGAATATTTCATGCAGATTGTGATTGTCGAAGCATTGGCATCGCAGTTCTACCTGCAATCCAACACTTATCCACAGTGCAATAGGTTGGGTAGGCAATTCTGAACATGTAAAATAAAAAAGGCTGCTTGTCTAGAATTTTCTGGCATGAAGGTGCTGAAAAATCTAAACAAATGTTTACTTTTTCATGCAGATGGTCGTGAGAATGTGCCCTCAAAATTAGCGGAACCACATGCAATATGGATTCCCATTGTTGTCGCGATTTTTATCCTTTTCACTGCTGGTACAATTCTTTATGTGTGTAAAGATGACTGATGTATCAAAAAAGTATGCATTTGAGGGTTACGAATTTTGTTTTTGTGTATTGCGGGCGTGGCTTCCAAATAACCACTTCTTTTCTTTCTTCTCGCGCCGTTTTCGATCAGTTTACCTAGTCCTAGAGGTTTTGTGTGTATATTTTAGTTTCGCTACAATTCTTGATATATGCAAGCTTGTCAGATTTTATTTTGCATTTTTTCATGTTGACTTCTTGAATACAAGTTTTTATTCGCGATATTTCATGTGTATATTTTGTCTATCGGTCAAATGCTAGATTGAACGTCAAAGCATTGAAAGCATATGTAATAAAAGAGGACATTGGTGAATTGTGAACAACGTTTCAAAAAGATTCATTTGTATTCAGGCGTATATTTAAATTTTGAACTGACTAAATTTATCTTATTATCTACGAAATAAACGGCAAAATACGTACTGAATTAAAACAATTTGATACAGCTGTATTGTCGTTCAATCATCCTGACATTCTAATAATTGGCTGTAGATGACACTTGATGATCTATTCACGTGACAATAGAATTCGAAACATACTTAGTAAGCTGGTGATCAGATAAAAACATCTTCTTAACATTATTCTCAACAGTATGTGAAAGAAACAGAAAAACATGTTGCCAACAAGCTTGAAGATAGAGAAAGACCTAGCTCAATTTATTCACATTCTGTTCTCCCACTGATGTCTCGTTACAGCCTTTGTTCAATGATGGTATTCTAAAACTGTGAAATATTTCCTAGTATTTCAACTGTCCTGTAATCCCATGCGCTGTGTGATCAAGCTGTCACAGGTTATACATACAGTATAGTTTCTACACAAGTAAATCTGCTCTAGTTTGACCTGATTCTGTTTTGTTGGTGGGGCTCTATAATCGTGGACCAACGGAATGATGTTTTAGATGCAAATTTTCTATATTTGAAGCAGCTCCTGTACAACCTTACTCAGTCTAGCTGAGAAACTGCTAGAATTGAAGCCATAAAAAAAGTAATTTTGATACAAACAAGACTTTATAAATGATATATATATATACTGCTCCAAACATTTTTTTCGTGAGAACCATGCAGAAGATAAAGAAAATATTATAAAACTTGAAGCACTGGTATCCAAATCGGTAGCTGCAATAACCAATTCAATCATTTATTAAAGAAGAATTGAAAATGGGGTTGGAGCCCATAAATATTCTGAACAGTATGGAGGATACATTTGAATTACCATTTCAGGAAAATGAAAATACAAACCAAAGAGTTGCAAAAAAGATCAATTTTAAACTCAACAGTGAAGACATCTCTACCTCTCAACCACTTGTCGTTGGCGAAAAATATCTTGTAATTGTTCGCTTCTGTAGGCGAGACAAATAATAGGTTGGGAACTGGTAGATATAAAAATGCGCACTATCTTTTCTATCTATCGTATTGTGGGACAGAGGAATTCCTGGTCTATTGATCAGTTTAGTTTTCTGGTAGGCTAGCTCGCTGGCTGTTATTTTGATATATATATATATATATTAATGTTCGCCGTTTCCTTCATATATATTGTGCAATTTCGTTACACGGAGCAGTCGTCTTGTTGCCAGTCAGGAAATAACAGGAACTACTCATTTAATAAGGTGTATAAGTCCACAATCTCTCCACTCATAAGTTGAGTCTTATGCTTTTTTTATGAATAATCGAATAAAATTATATATATACACAAACGATCATCGTCAATTTGTCTTTTATGATGAGATTAGCAGATCGTGGGGAGAAACGGGTCTGTAAGACTTAAAAGCAACTTAGGGTATGTAGGGATTATTATTAGTTAATTAGACCATATTTTTAACAGTAAGAAAAAAAGTAATTCCAGTTAGGACAAGATTTCTTCTGAATTTGACAAAGGTAGAAAAAATGAAATTTACGTTAAATACTTAATTGGCTTTCATAGGAATAACCCGTTAGTTAAAAACACGTTATCTTGCCCTTGAGCAAGACAAACTAGTACAAGCCAGCTTTTAATCACTCGACCACTTATAGCTAACCATTTAATTGGCTACAGACATCCTTCTAAATCGTTTTACAAGAATTGCCGAGACTTAATTACGGCATTCTTACTTTATTTATTATAAACGATATCCACGTAAAAGCTAAACCCTAAAGGCATAACAGGCGTCTCGACTATTGTATATAAACTGACAATAATTCTTTAAATTAATGGAATGGACTGGACTGAACTTGTTATAATATTCTTCTCGTGTCGTCTAAATACAACAAATATAAGGTTGGTTGCTTTGTTACTATTCGTGTCTGCTGGGTTCAGCTCTGCCCTAACAGAAACAGCGAGAATCGTGTGCTGTGAAGAGCCGCACACAAGCAACGCAAGGTAAAATAACAACAAACCTTAAGCGCGTATTTAAAATACCAAGTCCTCGTAACAATAACACACCTAGTAACTAGAGCTGGGCAAAATATTCGATTAATAAAATATTCGAATGCCATTTTACTATTCGAATATCCGGTACCACGTGACCTGCGCCGCTCTGCTTGGACACCGAACTCGCGGTCTCCAACTCAATCGTGAATTGTGCGAAATTTCCCTACGCCGCTCGCTATCAGAAAAAAAAGACAAATTTGAAAAGTCGTTGTTTTTGCGTTATGGTGTTATATGCTTATCTTCGCACTTAACGTATCGTTTCAATACATTATTTTGCAAAAAAAAACGTATCGACCGTTCCGTAAATTTAGAAACGTCAAATCAGATTGGTATTTAAAATAAATTTCCCAGATTTTAAACACCGCATGCTTGGTGACATATCATTAGCCATTTCGTGCGTTACCGAACATAAAGTTGATTGAAATTAAATGTTAAAATGACTTTTCGGTGTTTCATTGTGAAAAAGGCAATTTTAGATCGTTAGAAAACTCTAGTTATGTAAGAAGTTTTTCCAAAAGCTGGTATGAGTTACTTGTATGAAAAACACTCATTAAATTGTAACCAGATAAGAAATGTCATAATCCTACTCCCTTTAAAGCACTTTGTATTAGCTCTTTAGTGATCCCTTCCATCCTTGGCCAAGTGATGTTTCGAATATGTAACATTGTACTCGACCATACATGGCCGCTGAGCCAAGAGTAAAACGTAAAATTAATCGTGAATTTCGTTGTGACAATGCACACTGACTCGTTCACGAGTTGTTGCGTCTATTATCATCGAAAATGATTACAATTGGTAAATTTCGAAGCAATTGGGCAGTACTAATTAAGTCTTATAGCATGACATAATCAAAATCATTAAGTGAAGTGGTGAATTTGCAAATTCCGTAAAGAAAATTGAGCATTACTCAGTAAGTATTTTAGCTATAATAACCATCGGGGTGTTGTTTTGTTGAAAAAAAAAAACCTTAAAACTTTAGAGAATTAGGTATAATTAGAGTCTGACCCCCGATTAGGCACAATGGCCTAGGAATGCCTTTATTGCCAATTTATTTAATCGCTCTTTTAAAATCAACATTCAGGATTCACGCAATCGTAAATTTGCTAGGTTTATCTATCTAATACTAAAATAACACGAACACCATAGGAAAGCACGAGAAACTCAAGTATCGTTTTAATAAATATCTGCATCTCGGTTACCGTTCACTTTAAACAGGCACGGTTAATTTACAAGCGTTGATAAGGAAGATCAAATCCAGGACAGGGAATAAAACTCATAATAAAATTAATTCGATTTAGAAAATCAGCCCTTAATGTATTCAACAGCTGTCGCTGATGTGAACGCAAGGGTATACTAGAAATATGAAACTTCGATATTCGGCGACCGCTTATTCTTGCAAAAACGAGAAAGGGCGGGAATATAGAATACAAACTTTAGGATATCGCCGCCAAAACGATCGCGGTGACAAAGACAATCAGAGATTATGATGAAATCAACCATTAACCAATAAAAAAAAAACGCTTTTTTGCCGACTTTTCAATGTTTCTATCAATTTCTAAATGGTGTATCGAACTCCGACGTTCTGGATCCCTGTTATGTATTTAAAAAATATTCAAGTTATTCGATTTCAAAAAAGATTAGATTTTGCCCAATCTAGACTAACAGCCATTTAATTTGGCTTCGATTTCTAATAAGTTTTTCAAAGCGGGTCGTAATCGCGGAGGATGCAAAGTGCAGTAACTGCTTGAGATGATCGCCAGATATTTCGGGACTATTTTCGATTACTGGAACAAAATTAAAATGCTCTAGGATTAAAATAATCATTGAGTTATTTGATTTATAAATAATATCCGGGAATGCGACAAACACTGAAAATTCACGGAAGCAAGCCAATGATTACAGCCATGTCTAAAATCTTGCCAAGTGAAAAGTGTACGAGTGTCTGAGAAACGCTTACTATTGCGTCACTATTGCATCTTGTAGGTTAGTCAACGCTACGCATATAAACACGGGAAATTCATTCGACTAACTAATAGACTTCAGCATTTTAATTTCGAGTCAATGATTAGTTTTTAATGAAAATTTTCTCTGAAAATAATTAATTTTTAAAGCATTAACGAGAGCCGCAGGAAAGGTTGTTGAGAGCCGCATCCTAGTTTGAGAATCACTGTTCTAGACCAGGGGTTCTCAAACTTTTGGTGTTGCGGAGCCCTTGAAAAGGTTGACTATTATTCACGGAGCCCCAAAAGAAATGTTAAAATTGTTACTTTCAGATTAATATTCCTGAGCAAGTTAAAAGTACTATACCTAATTTAAATGCTGAACCTTTTTAATAGGGTTAATACAAGTCATAATTATTTCTAAATTTTAAACATAAATTATATATACTAAAGCTGTAAATCTGACACTTGACAAACATATGAATAAATTAGGGGTCGAATCTTTTACCTTTTGACATTTTTAGAAGACTTGAAAGGCCGCTTACTATAACGTGCGCCATTGTATTTTGTTACAATCGCCAATTTTTTTTGTCAGCATGGCATGTTTTTGAACCTTTAAACCTCGTTACGCCGGTGTTTATTCTCCCTAAATCAAAAATTTCTCTCGGCATATACGAGTACATGTATTGTTACCCAACGAGTACATGTATTGTTACACAATGACGACGTTAATTGCTTTTTTGTTCTTGTGGGGAATTATGAGTTCAATGTGAAAAACATGTCACTATATTATAGTCATCGGCGACGAAATGCTAAAAATAATAATTAATAAAAAGGGAGATCACACGTTTGGTTTCAGCAGACTCACCTCAGATTGAAAACGCTTTTATAGACATTGTAAATCACAAAATTTGGTGTTATGTTAGGTTTTCTTCGTAGTAACTGCGAAATCGAAACACAGTCAATTGTGCGCGCGATGTACCTTTCTTCCCATTCTGAAACTACCGACAGAGCCGCACGCAATCAATTGTGCGCGCGATCCGCGATGTACCTTTTTTTTCATTCTGAAACTACCGACGGAGCCGAATGCAATAAAATAAATTTCAATTGTTCGTATTTTGCCCAGACATTAAGATTTTTAAAACGGCGATATCTTGCTTAAAAATAATCTTAAGTGCGAAAGAACAAATCAAGTTTGACAAATCCCAAGATCGCAAAAATACGACTCCAATTTATTTATAGTTGGCAGTTTATCACATATTTTATGTTATTTTAGAATAGTATTATTCCATTTTAGTAATCCTAATAGTAATCTCGAATCAAACGTGAGTAAGAAATCTCGCAACACAACAGAAATCTCGTTATCCCTTTATTTAATCGCGAAGAATGAAGAATTTCCGATTCCAATTTTGAACCACCTCTCTCTTAAGAATCCTGGCCGCGCTTCTGCTTATGAATAATGTCATTTTTTAATTCCGCCTCTTTGCCATATTTCGAGGTTATATTGTTGTCAGATTTTATCAAAGCTGTTATTGCTTCTTTGAACAGTTACAAAATTAGTCAGTATTTTTAAAAGTAATCCAATAGCTCGCGGAGCCCCTGGGTTTCTCTCGCGGAGCCCTGGGGCTCCGTACGGAGCACTTTGAGAACCTATGTTCTAGACGGAAGTAAATGCTACGTTATACGTAGCATACACGGAAGTCCAGGGTGGAAGTTGTGTTATTAATTTAACTGTTTGCATGTGTTAATATTTTTAAAATCGCTCTATCCGTGCTTCTGCTCCTAGTAGCATATTGAGCTACCAATTATGGTGATTATTTACCATTTGGGATTGCAGCCTAAGTTCAAATGGCCTGGCAAATGATGTAAATAAGGGCCTTTCGAAGAATTCAAACATTTTTGTCATCATTCACACTCACTTAAGCTATACGTTTGTTTCATTTTCAAATATACTCATAATGATATGTCGCGAATGCCGCCAACATTATAGGCTTGTTTCGTGGACGTATGAGAATAGGCAGGTTGAGGCAGATAGGCAATGTTTCGAGGATAGGAATGTAAAAGAGATGGGACAGTGGGTTGGGGATACGAAACGAGAAATGAGAGCAAATATATTTCGCTCTCGTCTTCATTTACCAAGCTCAAGTTTGGCTGATTTTACCTGTGTATGCTACTTCTACTCTTGCTATTTAAAATGTCGAGTTGCTGTTTACGATTAATAATCAATCCGGAATGTTGGGTCTTCTGATGTAACAACCACAGTAAAACAACCTGTGACAATATGAGCATGACAACGAATTTGATCAAGTGCGGCTACTTTAATTAAAGGTTCAGATAATGAAAAGAAATCCCGCCTAAACGAAAACACCGGTTCGTTCGTTCTAAGCGTTGGATATAGGCCTACGCGTGCCATCCACCCTTCGATTATCCTGCACGGGTTTGAAGCCCGTGGGGGCTAATCAGTGATGAGCTGGACATATCGCCCGCGGAAGTTTTCATTTTTGTCTGGCCTAAAATAAAGCCGAAAAGCTATAGTCCAGCGTTTCCCAACCTTTTTTGGACGCGGACTATTTTCTCACCGGCGAAAACTTTTGCAAACTTGAGGTTCGTTTATTGCAACCGTACTCTGTGCGAAGAAGCAATAAAACCAAACACAACAGAATTTTAACGAATTTCAACAATGGCCTTTTCTGTCGCACTATATTCAATCCATAACAACGACAAGAATGTAAAATGTATTTCTATTTTGATTGTGTTCATGGTAATTCGCGGTTGCGTCGAATTACGACAAGATAATATTGTGAGAATATATTGCCCGATTATACTTAGTTTTGATACATATTTTTTGCGTTCTTGCGAATTTGTTATCGCCGTTAGAAAAATCCTACTATCTGCTATAAATTTTCAGAAAGTACAACTTGATTTAGTACTTATTAAAAAAATATTTAAAGTATATTAGTAAATCAAAAATACATATTCAACGCCACGGTTTATTATTATTAATTTTATTGTGATCATTTTAATCTGCGGTTGTGTTGACGAAATAAAAGCAATACTACTCAGAAAATATGATGACAATCCGTGAACACTGAAATGCCCGATTATATTGTGCCATGTAAAGTGCCCGATTATATTTTGTTTTAATTCGTATTTTTGTGAATTCGTCAGATCTGAGCTGTTCTTACAACACATACGGCAGTACTGTGTGTGGCAATGTGGAGGCAGTAAAGCAAAGAATCCTAAAGGAAAATGCCCTGGTTACGGTAGCATCCAAAATTTTGAGATTTGCAATGTCTAAAAAGCGTTTTTAATCGGTCGCGGACCATTATAAAACAAAACTTATGGTGGTATTCGTTTTGTTTATTTAGTATTTTGTAGTGCCGCTTCTCAATTTAAAATTTTGGTTTGCCACCATTGACACCAACCAAAAAAATATTATTTTTCGTTGTGAGAACTCGCGAGAAACACCACTTAGGTATCTGTCGAAGCGTGTGCAGATTCGTGTTTTCGTCGAAAATCTGCAAGTAAGTTGTGAAATCCAATCGTCTGATTAGGCGCAAGTGACCTATCGCGTCACCTGTTACCAAATTTTCGAATACTAAATTGCTATTCTAATAGTTGAATATTCGAACTTGTGTCCGATTCTATACTCAGTAACCAGTAATTAATTATTGACTCGTTTAATGTTATGTGACTAAACTTGCTTTTTATGTTTTATGTAAATTCTAACGGAAATCGTAACGTGGCTGATTTTCTGACTCGTTGCGGACTCATTCAAATGCTCATTTGAGTTGAGACTCATTTGAGACCGCGGACTCGGATTGGGAAACACTGACTGCTATACATTAAAATTTGAGAAATTTATCTGAGATATGTCTGTGTAAAATGTTAACTATATATATTTATAGCAATTCAATACAAATTTCAATCTAAAATAATTTGCAATGTTCCTATTAATATTTACAATAAGCATGAGAACTGTTATTTTATGGAAGATATATAAAGCACAAACATTGATTTCTGTAGTCGACAATCGTAAGCAGGCATCCAACGTTTCAACAGCTATTTTGTTTTGTACGTCACTTTTTATCCGCCTTCCTTCTGTGCAAATTCTTCTAAACTGACGAGCTTCCAGAAGTTGTCGTAATTCTCATTTTTCCTTGGCAAAAGAAAAAGATCCGACTGCAATTCACATCATATATATATTGTTGAAATACAATATTGGATATGGAATGGTTGAGACTCAGTATCAATTTCCAGTTGATTTGAAGTTTCTTGCGAAAGCTTTCGTGTCCATCCAATTGAGATATGTTTTGTTTCCTACCTTGCACACCATGTTTAAGATGTTCAAGTGATTAGCAATATCAGTCAATAACGCCAATGAACAGAAAAACCTTTCATCATTCAACTGTATAATGTATTCAGGAGTCTCTCCTATTTTATTCTGGACAAAATTGGAAATTTCGTTACTCTAGAAAAAATAGCAACCAGGCCATTGATCCTCCCTGCCATTAACCTGACACCATCTGTTACAATACATGCACACTTCTTAAAACCTTCATATTCACCAACGACAGAAGCGATAAAGCGAGATAAAGACCCCCCCCCCCCCAAAAAAAAGACCATTTTAACTGCACATTCTTTTATGATTCCCCCGTCACGAAAAGCCTTACCATGTTTGGCGATCGTTAATTGAATTCATATGATGTTTTCAGGGTTGTTGGTTGAATCATTCTTGGAAAAATTGACGATGATATTTTTTTTTGCTTCAAGAAGTTACCCTTTAGTTGTTTCAAAATTGCTTCCCGAGAAGTACCGTGACATTTTCCGTATTTTTTCCGTGTTTGGTATTGCCCTTGGTAATGCCCTTGAAATTATACTCTTTCGCAACAGATATTACTTGAAAGCACACCAGACATTGTGGTTTATCATTGTTGTGGGCAAAGAAATACATTTCCTCGCAGTTAGCATTAAATTCTCTGTCATTTTTCTTTTGACACTCATTTTATGAATTGTTATATTTGAATAACTTGCAATTCAAGTTGGCCTAGTACTATTGTCAAAGAACCAAGTCCGTCTAAGTTGGGATTTCGGGACCTATCTGAAAAAATCGCGCGGGATCGCTCTGCTTCAGTCACTGCTGTCATGCGTGGTGTGTGTCGGAGCGCTGGCGTGCAGTCTGGGGTAGAGCCGCGGTTGAGGCGCAGTTCTTACCGCTTAGGATATCGTCATTGGTTTGTGGCAGCTAAAAAGTCAGTCGCCATAGGTTTGGCCGTAGCGGCCATGGTATGGAAATGCCGCCATGGTTTTGCGGCAGCTACAGACGCCACAGAATACTTAAAACTGCACTTGCTGCGGTTGGGGTTAGGCTACGTACAATTTTTCATTCGTATTTAATGGGGTTTTGTTTTGTGATGTTTATTCTCATCTTGGAGTAGACCACCAGCAAAGTAGACTTCCCATCAGTTAATGCAGTATAGTTACTGTACCGTGCTGTATGGATATTAATATTTTCATCTGATTGGAGTGGCGAATTTTATGGCAAAGTCTCACAAGAAAAAGGGTAGAAATCATAATTTTAAGAACTCAAAATTGTCATAATCAGTTATTAATTTGTAATTTTTTTTATCACTAGGTATTAATCTGGCTTCAGCATACTGGGCAGAATAGGATTGAATCAATTAAAACAAACCTGACTCAATATAAATAGATTAATATCTTTTGTGTTCATTTATTTTTTTATTTTGACCCATTAGGTAAAAAGATCAGAGCAAAAACAACTCTTCCACCTGTGAAAGAAACTGATAAACAACATGGCGATAAAGTTAAGAGATCTGTCTCAAATCCTCCTGCGAATCAACAGAAGCAGGTGGAAGAAACAGAATTTTTATTTATTTGCTAAACATGTAACATTTATTATAAAAGAATATTTATTTGCTAAACATGTAACATTTATTATAAAAGATTCTTTTTCAAGTTTTTATATTCTTCAAAAGTGAAGTAAGTTAATTCTGATGACAAGCATTTTATCAAGTACTTTGTTAATTTCACTTAAAGTACATTCAATATTAAACAAGGTGTTGAAAAAATTATTTGCACATTTTTTTGTTGAAACTCACACATTTCCATTCACCGATAGATTTTCTAATTTTTGTTTCCGCTTGCCAAAACTCCAAGATTAGCATTGCACTATTTATTTCATATTTACTCGAAGCAAGGTTGTAAGTGCCTGCTTGAAAAATAAAAATTTCAAACGCGTGACCTCTGAACTATTTGCCAAGACTGCTATTAGATATTGATTACATAGTACGTATTTATCTGTTTGACTCATTTTTTTATATTTTTCAGCGTAGGAAACGAGTGTCAGTAAGTAAACAACTGCCCCCCAACAAACTTCCCAATCATACATCATTACGTGAAAGAAATAAAAGTTCATTGCAAAATGCTGTCAATAACTCTTCCCCACAGGGCACTGCACTTATTGATGCTTTTTCAAATCTATCAATAACAAAGGATGCAAAACCTTCAGAAAGTAGAGCAAGGTGATTGGGATTTTTTTCAATTTCCTTTAATAATGCATGTTGTGGGGATCTAGAAAATCTTATATTATATTAGTTTTTTGGAACAATTTAGATTTATTTTTATTATGTATCATTGCCATGATTATTACAAAGAGTGAAAATTGGATAAGAATGGAATTATGGCAAAATTTCCAACTAGTTTTCTTTTTTATTGATTAACAGACAACCGAAACGTCACTTCTCTACGGATAGCAATGGAAAAAAGGGATCTAAGAATTCTGATTCAAATAAATATAATTTGGAAAACATCGCTAGACTTATCACATCAGGCAGAGCAAAAAATATTATTGTAATGGCAGGAGCTGGCATAAGTACTGGGAGTGGAATTCCCGATTTCAGGTAAGCCTGAATTGAGGATAGGAATTTTTTGAGTGATATAGGAACTGATATTGAATCTCATCCGACCTAAACTAAGTATGGTTTGAATCCCATGATTCATTGAAGAATGAAATTGCATCACCAGCAATATAAAATTTTCAAAAAAATGACAATATTCTAACTTGATAACACTTCATCAGTTCCCAGTAGTGATAATGTCTGAATGATACTGATAATCTTTTTCAATTTGTTTGTGTGTTCTGTATGTTCGAGATTCATGTTTGAAGTATAAGGGCACGGTGGTTTAGTGGTTAAATCTTAACTGTGATGGCATCGCAAGTTAAAATCTCTGATTCAAATCCTACATCCACCTGGGATGTGAAAAATTGAGCAGACAATACCGAACCGGTCCTTGTCAACTATAACACCTCAGCAGTGGTTTCTTAATATGTAGAGCTTTGTTTAGAGGGAAAGGCATTTAAAAACCGCAATATAAAGAAGGGACTATTTTTTTAGTTTAAATGGTTTAATCTTACTTACAATCTCCCAAGTTTCGAAGTTAGATTTTGTTAAAGACTAATACTTGACAATTAACATATTATCATCTGATTTATTATTATTATAAATCTTTAGGACTCCAGGGACAGGTCTTTATGACAACCTTCAGAAATATAGGATTCCTTCACCGACTGCAATATTTGATATGGAATATTTTCATTATGATCCAAAACCATTTTTTACTCTTGCCAAAGAGCTTTATCCAGATGGAAAATACAGACCATGCACACCACATCATTTTGTTAAATTTCTTCATGATAAAGGATTATTATTGAGAATGTATACTCAAAATATTGATGGATTAGAAAGAAGTAAGATTAATGAAAATTTTTATGATGTTGCTGGAATTTGTATTTGCTGTGTATCTGCATATTAACAAGTGATCCTAATTCATCTCATCTTATTATTTGTTATTATTGCATTTTTTATGGTAGGTTATGTGTGAGTAGGTTTTGAGCGAGTTAGTGGGGTTTTGCTCTGAAAGGTTCAAAAAGCTTGCTCAGCAGTTTCACAGCATTATACTATATGAGCATGGGGGGTTACAGTGGTTGGCACCAGTATCTCCTTTTAGTAAGTAAACAGTATGAAATCTAAGGGCAATTTTCTTTTAATTTTGGAGGATCTGATTCTTACAGTCAGTCATCTGTTGGCGACAGATTTACGCAACTGCCCACTGTAGCACCATGGCTGTTACACTACCACTGCTTGATGGCACCAGCATTAACCACAAAATTAAGCAAAATGAATGATTTTATATAGTTTAACTTATCAAATATTTAACCCTCTTTTTCAGTTGCTGGCATTCCTTCTGAAAAGTTAGTTGAAGCCCACGGAACATTTTCTACAGCTTCTTGTACTAAATGCGGGAAGAAACACAATGGACAAGATATAAAGGCGAGTTTGAATTTATATCTTCAATTTGTATTTGCACATAACATTTAGAAAATGGTAGTTGTGTTTCTATGAATGATGACAAAAAATCCTTTTTTTATACAATAAATAGAGACTCAATCAGAAAAATTTGGGCTTATAGGTGCCAGTTCCACCAATTTATCATTTGGATATTATAATTTCACCCTCTTTTGTCTGTTTTCTATACAGATATCATTATGATATTTCTGATATTGTTGAATTTTTCACTCACTTGATTACTTCCATGTGCTATTAGATGAACTTTAAAGTTAAGGCATTACATTTACACAACTACAACATGACTCAATATAGTAACTAAGAAAGGTTTTTGATGTGATGTGACATTTTAAACATGACTGAATTTGTGTGCAGAAATAAACTGAGTAATCAATAAATGCAACATTTAGTATTTTTCAATAGAAGTTGATGTCTGGGAGAAATATTAAATCCTACAATTTTTTGAACATAGTTACTTTTTCTATGCGGACTCATTTTAACGCCTTTATTACAGATTAAAGTGATGAATGGTATCATACCACGTTGTCAGTCATCAGGACTTTGTTGGGGAATTGTAAAACCGGACATTGTATTTTTTGGAGAAGATCTACCAAGACGTTTTTATTATTATCTGAAAGATTTTCCACAATGTGATCTTTTAATCATCATGGGAACTTCACTTGAAGTTGAACCATTTGCCAGTCTAACAACATCAGTTAGATTGAATACTCCTCGGTTACTACTAAATAAAACTCTAGTTGGTCCATTCAAGAGCCGAAGTCAACGAAGAGCTTTTGATGTTGGAGTTACCGGTGACTTCACTGATACGTTTAATAGGTAATTCCTTGTCAAGATATTTTTATAGTGTTGTGTCACTGATACATGGATGTGTAATTCTAAATTTTGTTTTTAGATTTTTAACATTTTTGGGTTGGAAAGATGAATTCAACAACATGGTGGAACTTGCAAAATTAGAAGAGGTCAGACTACACTTTATTATTAGTTGTAATAATTTGGCGAACATAGTGTAAACTAATTATAATATTTTTTTGCTTGTGATGATTTGGAGAATAAAAAATTACATTGTTTTTAAGGTCTCTGAGAAAAAGATGAAAAATCTGATTCTAGCTCTTACGACAGTGGAGTTTCATTATCCGATGGATCAAATAACTCAGATCGCAAGAAAGGAAAACCTCTTCCGCCACCTGATACCAATATTAAGAGATATTTTCATACGATACGTTCTACTCCTCTATCAAAACCTAACTCAGCACTTTTTTCTGCCTCTAGTGATGTGTCATATTATAGTTATATCAAAGACAAGTCTTCTGGTCTGACCACTCCATCAACAAACTACAATATAGCGTCCCAAACAAATAACTCTATAGCAATTCAATATGCGCAAACTGTCCCTAGCAGAAAAAACAGCACGCCTGCTCGAAACAGTGTCAAAAAATTTGGCACGTGTGTGCGCACCAGGAAGAAGGACATTTCAAGCTCTGAGTCATCTATTGACAATGATTCAACTTCTGATTCTAATTATCCAACTTCTTCAGACGATTCATCTTCTTAGTAATTCTCCCACTTAAATATTTTTATGCATGATAAATTAATAATTGTGCCATGTACAACTACCGGTAATATGAATTTATCTATCTACTGGTGTTTATGATAATTCATTGAAACATAATATTTATTTATGCAAGAATTGACTATGTTGAACTTATCTGATTCGGATAAACAATTTATTCAGTAGTCTTTTGTGTAAAATAACTTATTTTGTATCAGTATTATTCAGGATCAACTACGGTAGTTTATAAACAACTTGGGGAAGCTACCTCTGGACATAAAAATAGGGCTTGGTATTTTGTTACCTGTTTGAAACCTGAATACAACCTTCTCAGATGCTCAACATCTCGTATAATCCATATAATATATCTTGCCTAGAAGTATCCAAATGTCTTCACAGTTGATTTTCCATTTTTCACACATAATTTACCTAAGAAACTATGACTTTGAATTGTCAATCTTTAGATATATATCAATAGTTTAATCTACCAATCACTAACTTTTAAAGCATTGTGCCAAATTGAACCATTATCATTGATTTTATGTGCAGATATAGAGAATAAATGGGGCTCCCGAAGTATGCGAACCAAGATGGCGGACATCGGAATGTAATATGTGTACTAGGTTAGGGTTAGGCCATAATTTTAGGTATAAATACTACGGGAGGCTCTTGGCTAGTCTTCGAACTAATAATAGGACTAAAATAAGGAAAATTGGAAAAAAATTATCGCCTAACCTGTTACGTTCCGATGTCCGCCATCTTGGTTCGCATACTTCGGGAGCACCGAATAAATATATTTTAATAAGAAGTTGTGTTTTTCTAAAGAGGATAATGGTTTGGGTGGTTGATATTAGACCTGAATGATACAAGTGGGGTCAGGTAAACTTAATCTGTCTGCTTTGAAAGCAGCGAGAAGAGACTGCTTTATTTCTGATAACCATTATAACAATATTTGGGATGTCGAATCTGTTTTAATGAATAGTTTAAAGATTATATTCTTATTACAAGAACGAACACTGTGGGTCATAGGTATTTTATCAATGTCTGCCGCAGTGAGAATCCAGGTCAATTGTATTTTATGTACATAAGCATTTTTGCCTGCAGATGCATACTGCTACAGTACACCATACCATTTCACTTTCAATTAAGACAGATTTTATTGTCAAGCTCACTGGTCATCCATTTATTCATATGAGTCAGAGTGATTCGATGATATTTATTGCAGAAAAGGAAAAAAAATAAATATAACATCTTTATTTCATTGTTTCAATAAAACATAGAATCACAAACATTGACACGCAAGTCTGCATCAAACAGAAAAAAAACAGTAGCAGCTGGAACAGGGGAAGCTAAATTATATTAGGCCATCCATAGTTAACAGATGAGTCATGAAAGAGGCCATGATATGTCCCACAATTCAGGAGTGAGCTTTCCATCTTACAAGACCACGCTTGGCCTGAATGAATGAGAAGGATAAAACATTGAAAATAAAATTTGAAGCAGACACAAACAGAAACTGGATAATTAAAATAATGCCATTAGTCACACAATTGTAAGTCAAGGGTTAATTAGATTGGAACAGCTGCTTATCTGAACAGTGGTATGCTGCGCAGAGTTACAAGTTCATTGACTAGCATGCTCTTAGCCTAAAAATTTGAGAGGAAGATCATATACATTAAAAACATGATTGAAAAACATGGGACGCCATTCAGGCATTTAATTTGTGTATTAGGAACTGAGCAATTGAGGCAACAAATCGCTGGTTCCAGATACCGGTAGTCTCACAAAATCAGACAGTGTTTATCTGTTATGGGGCATTCAAAATTCAATGGAAAGTTCAAAATATTTGATTGCTAATTGCTTGTGAATAAGTCTAACCCAAACGAGTTGTCAACATTGGCAAAAATAAACATTAGTTCAAGAAACTTTTGCTTTAAACTTATGTAAAATTACCTATATATATATAGCACCAATGTTAAATTGAAATTATTTAATAATGCCTCCAGTGAATGAATTTGCCATGAAATTTTGAATTAAAGTCTGGTCTGTTTCACAGTGCCCTATTCAGCTTTTAGCATGGTCTGCACATCTGAGAAATTGATGAATTTGCCAAATGAATCAAATTCACATTTCAAACAATGATAGTTATAATCAGCTTTGGTCCGACTAAAGTCGATAATTTTAACTCAGGTTAACTCAAACTAAAATATTAGGGGCATGGAACCATTATAATGAATGAAGTTAATGTGTCTTGTGCAATGAAACAACTCCAGGACAATCGCAACTTCTCCTGGAGCACTATTGTATTACGCACATGTCATATTGTTAAACCGCTTTTAAATGTTTTTGAATTTTGTTTATTGTTGTATTATCTAAAGAACAAAGATCAAAGTCAAAATATTCTTCATTTCTAACAAGTTTTTTTGATTTTGCGACAATTGAAGCAATTTTCCGAAGTCTATCAACATCTGTAACATAAGAGATTTTCCTTTGAAGTTCTTGAAGCTCTTGATAAAGTGTATCGTTCATTCGGGGATAGCTACTAACATTTCCTACTTTGGTTACAACAATGGGCAATTCAGTAGAACTACCTTGCTGTTCAACACTGTGGGTATCATTTTCAATAGAAGGCTCAGAATACTCTCGCTGGCTTTGAAATGGTTTTTCTAACGGAGTATCAGACTCATCTTCTGAACTTGTGTCGAAGTTATTTGAAAGACCCAAGTTTTGAAATTTTTTTTCCCTGTCTTCATGTGAAACTTTTACTTCTGAAACAGGATATTCAGTAATGTTTTCTTGCATTTGATGTTTGTTTTCCTCAACAGGCTCATGATACGAACTATCATCGCTAGAATCTGACATTTCCATATCTTGGTATGCTGTTGTTGCATCAATAGTATGTTCAGTGTGAGAATCTCGAATCGGAGATATTACCGACAAATGTGCAGTGTTTTCGAGAGGAAGACCACTCATATTCAACTCATCGTCTGATGAATCAGAACTCGATGATGAGTTTGAACGAGCAATATTGGCAGAAATTGGAGTATTTTTCTCCGCCACATGATTCTTTTCATCATCAGATGTAACAGAATGATTACCTGAAAACGCTGATGACTGAGAAGAAATTGATGCTTTTCTGATTGGAGTTATCTTCTTTGGTATATCTTTATGTGCAATGGGTGGTGGAATTTCGGCATCGCTGTCAACACTATCATCACTACTTGTTTCAACATACGATCTGCTCTTATATACTGGTTTGGGTTTTTCCTCACGTTTTTGAGATAATTTTGAACTTGGCTTTTTACTTGGCACAGATGAAGGTCTTTTATGAAACTCTTTCTTTGAACTAGAATCCTTCTCTTTTGTTATTAACATGCTCCCAGATTTAGGGCTCTTGCTTTGCCTATTGCTCGGCTTGGGGCTTGAAATCTTTTTATTTTTAGTGACGCTTGCAGGTGACGATGCTTCTAAGTTTTTAGAGATGGGTGAAGAGTGGGACTCTGATTTCTTTTTGGGTGCAATCCGTTCAGTGTTGGGAGTAGAACTTAATTTTTTATCCTTTCCTAATGGAGAAAAACGCTTTTCATCTTTTGATGATTGTTTTATCAACACCTTTTCTTTTGACGATCGTTTATGTTTTTTAGGTTTATTTGATGGTGTGCTTTCCCTTTCAGAATGATCTTTATCTGGATCTTTGCTTGATTTCTTATGCTTCATTGATACTTTATCACTTCTTTCTTTTTTACTTACACTATTTTTCCGTGACTTTTCTTTCGTTACAACAGGTTTAGAATAACTAGGAGAATTTGTGTGTGATGAATTTTCTGTTTTCACTTTTGGTTCCTGTTTTACTATTGTAGAAATACTCTTTTTTTCAAGTTTTGGTTTTAGAGACTCTTTTGTAACATTGCTTCCAGTTTTGATCTTAGTTTTGGGTTTTTCTTCCACATTTGGGATATGAACTTTTATTTTATGAGACCGCTTTTCATCAGCAGATGTATCTGATTCACTGATGTCCATGTCACTTCCACTAGAAGAAGAGTCGGAAGACATTATCATTTTTTTGAATTCCTGTTTCTTTTCTGAGACTTTTGTTTTGCTAGAAGAATCCTTATGGTGCTTCCTTTCTTTTTCAACTGATCCTCTTCGTTTGCTCTTTTGTATTGGATTGGCAACAGATTCTTTTGAATTCTTATCTTTTTCCGTACTAGGTACTTTTTCTCTTTTGATTTTCAATGTCAAATTACCACCAGGTGAAATTTTGGCAGAGTGAACAACATTCGCTTCTTCTTGAGTGGAAGGATGAGGTGAATTTCTTGAAGGTGTTGAAGAGGAACCTTTTTCCTTTTTGATCTTCATATCCTCTTGCTTTACTTTTGATTGCTTAATTTGTGTCATGTTAATGCTGTTACCTGGAGCAAATAATCCTGTCATTAAATCAGGCTTTTCCTTAATCCTTCTTATTTTCTCTTTGTCTTTCTTTTGTGTATTAGGGGTGGGACCAGATGAAACATTAAGAGATTTTGGTCTCTGTGGTGCGTCATCAGAATGTTTTTTTTTCTTCTTTTTATTACCATCATCTTCCCCAGCAACTGATCTTCGTTTCTCTGGTCTTCCTCTCTCATGATGATACGTTTCTGATTTCTCACTCCCTTCTTCTTTCGGCCTCTTTTCTGATGAACTTAGATTCTTAGGAAGTTTAAAATTTTCATCATGTTTCTTCATGTCTTTCACCGCGATTCTACCATCTTTTTTTGAATGAGAACTGCTTCTTTTACGTTCTGGATGATTTGATTTACTGCTCTCCCGATGTTTTGAACTATCCCTAGATTTGCTCAACTCTTTTTTAGATGACGGACTTGTGGTCCTGGAGGAGCGATCTTTGGAAGAATGTCGGGATTCTGGCGAAGCAGTACCCAACACTGCGCCAGCGCTGAGTAACTTTTTACGAAAGTCCTCAGTTGGGTTTGTAAAAGTCAATTTCTCAAGCCGAGTATGATTAACAGGCGGCATTGACTCTGTGTGCAAAAATAAATCATACTGAAATCGAACATTTTTAGGTGCTTCTTTATTGCGAAAATGAACATCAATGAGCATGTTGAACCCAGCAAAACCAGATTCTTTAACTTTATATGGAGGGTGCTTTATGACTCTCCCTGGTGGTTCATAGGAGTCGTGAAGCCAAAAAACAACTTTTTCAACAAAATATTCAATTTTAATTCCAGTGCCTTTGACAAAAACTTCCCAATCATGAGTATGGCCCTCAGGTGAAGGAACATCCCTCACTTTGGCTTTGTGTCCCAATTCTAACCGGACCTCCACAGTTGAAGCCATTATTTCTAGATCACTTCACCATTTCTTAACCTATTATAAATACGAGAATGTAAATATATTGAAACATGAATACTGTACACAATTATGGGCGCCATTACCAGAGCATGGGAACTGCGACGATATAATGAATCTAGAAGCAGTTCAGAGGAAGTTTACAGCACAAATAAACTGCTGCAGAGGACAGAGTTATGAGAACTGCTTGAAGGTTTTGGGACTGACAACATTATTAGAAAGAAGAATGAGAGGTGACTTAATAGAAAGCCTTCAAAATACTGAATTCACAATTCGGATAAATACAGAGATTTCCAGGTGTCCAACCCAAGGACACTTGGACAATACTGGGAATTGTCAAATATGATATTGAAGAGAATTTTATAGTCTGGTTTTCGACGTTTGTGTATTAAATGGGTTGGCAATACCATTGGGTAATTGTCTAATGTCCTTTCCAGTGCTTTTACTAGTCATAATTGTCTAGTCTTACTTGTAGTAATTGCCAATTTTTGTGATTCATTGTTGTTATACAGGTGTTGACCCGGTAGATTTACCGCGGTATATTTATATTGTAGGTGTGATACCCAAAGAGTTATTATTATTTAACAACACAAGCTGAGAGTGTAGATATACCGGGAAAGTAAAGTGAATTGTATTTGCGTGGGTATTTTCTGCGATTCTGTCAGTCTTAATTTCGTTTTTTGCTGCTAGCTTCCCAGAGGTTGTATAAAGGTGGTCCGCCAAAATTTTGGTCAGGTTTTACCGGTCCGTCACTTAAAAAAGGTTGCCGACCACTGCACTAGACTATTTCATTTACACTGTATTACTGTCTCCTTCATATTACAGTATTATAAATATTGATAACTTTCATATTTCTAAAGGGTGAAAAAAAGCTGATGAAACAGTTCGATCATGTCAGCCAGCTATTATTCCAGTATTCAGAAGGTCGGAAACGTAACGTACGGTAACTGACAATACCGCAACTTGCAAACAGGTCACCGGTAACAGTACAATACAGGTCTCTCAGCAGACAACACTCTCGTTCTTAAACGCGATGCTGGCTCTTGTCAGAATATAGATTTTGATTATTTAAGCAATGCGAGAAACGACGAAAAAAGTTTTTCGTAGTAAATCAGCTGATGCTTTATGAGTTGCCATATTAATCGGTTAAATTTTTAATGTAGGCATTCACAAAACAACATAGGCGGCATAATTCAGAAATGAAGGTCTTGAATGATGCCAACTATGTGAAGAAGATTCAAGAGGTCATTCTCTTTCAAACTTGGAACACAGGTCAGTTCATGAAAAGGTGTCAAAAATTCATAGTTCTCCCCCAATGAGCATATATACAATGAGTGGAAACTTGCAAAGATTTGCTCATTGTGGCATTGTTCCCTGCATTTTTACGTCGTCCAGCTAAATGGTTCGTTGCATATTAAGAAAACGCGTTGCTCGCTGCCAAAATCCCTTGCTTCAGCTCAGTCGGGTGCGAAATTGGCCGTATTAACTTGACTTGAGGTCTTTAATTCTTCAATACATATTTGATTTTGGGTTTCGAAGTATGGTACGCTGAAAGCATACAACTATGAGCATATGCTTATTGGGAATGCATATCTATTAGACAGAAAACGTATCTACAGAACAGAATATGAACCAGTCGCCGAGAGGAGTGCGGTTATTTATGTATTTATTAATTGATATAACATGGGATTTACATATTTATCCAAGGGGAGAGGAAAGCCGAAAAAGATGGCCTAAATATATGGCGAACCACGGCCTCTCTCAATCATAGCTCTGTGCTCCATATGAATCACATGGCTCTGCGAGCTATTCGTTTACTTATTAAAAATACTGATTTTAACTATAAATTACTCTGGGATATCTTGCCATTGAAAACAAAAGCCAGAAATTGGAAGAAAAGCAGGGAATGAAATGTGTGTATTATGTAATGGAGAACCTGAGTTTGTTTCACATATTTTCATGTATTGTGAATTTACAAAAAATATTTATGACGATTTTGTTTTAGCTATATTAAAATTGATCAGAATACATTTTGTTATCAATATGATTCTTGCATATTATTTAATTTTAACGATCCTTTATATAGTCGTATAGATACTGTTGATTCGGATGCAATTATACTTTTGTAATCAATAGTGAGAAATATTTCATGACTGCTATTAACTATGTGAGCTATTTTTTCTGCAATGCAAAATATTTCCTTCGTCTGCTATTTACTATGTGAATTAATTTTTCTGTAATGTAAAGTATTTCCATAACTGCTTTTACTATGTGGGCTGTTTTTTCGGTACTCGTAGTATGTGTACCAGGTTAGGTTACGATTCTCCTTATTTTAGTTCTATTAAAAGTTCGGGAATTGTCTGTGTTACGCAAGTGAATATCCCCCTACCGATAGAATTTAGTCCATTTACACAACTTGATATAAAGTAGGCGAACAAAATTAGTTACCTTCATATTGGTACACATACTTCTGGAGCACCATTTTTTTTGTAATGTAAAATATTTAATATGTGAACTAATTTTTCTGTAATGCAAAATATTTTCCACAGCTTCTGTATTTTTTATATGTCACTTTTCATTTCATCGATAATACACATTGTTCATTCTTTGTGGAGTTTTTGGTAACTTTACAAATGGAATAAGACCGACATTCAGCTTTTTCTGTTTCACAACTGTAATACAAAAAGGTACTCTTGAAGTATGTAAACCCAGTTGGTAGACACCGGAACCATGTGTACCAGGTTAGGGTCTACTACATACAAACATTCCCAAACTTTTCAAGCCGCACCGCACCCCCATTTTAAAATTGTGAAGTCTTGCGCCCCACCTCAAAAATAATTAGCTAACAATAATAAGCTACAAATAACAGTAGTAAGGCGTAAGTATGTTTTATTGGAAAAACATGTGGAAAAAATAAATGACAAGTTTTGATATGCATAAAATTAGCCAAGTCCAGAAGTCAGTATTTTAAACTAATAGAGAGAGAGAGAGAGAGTTTATTTCGTTCGTCAAACCATGAACATATATAAATTATAATAAAAAAAAACAGATGCTCAGGTGTTTGACTGGGAGACAACGTTACAACATTTCGGGTCATTTAACAGGTTCGGTGTTAAATTCTTCAATACCTCTCATATACCTTATTCACTATATACATTATTCATAAGAATTTTTGATTTGGAAAGTACTAAATAATCATGTTTTGTCCTAAGATCATCATTTATTCAGCTGATAAGTTGACATGTATTGCATATCAACTGAATAAAAATGGGTTAGCGAGGATACCTATTATTAGGAAAATTTGTCTACTAAAAATGAATGTAATAGGACATGGATTTTTTATAAGCAAAGATGGGGAAAATTCTATTATTATAGCACTTTAATTATAAACATTTGATAATAGTAATGAAATCATGAGTTTCTTTATACACTATAATTTAAACACATCAAATTATAATACTTGATTATGACTGGCAAGTGATTTGAAGGATAGTAACACACAATAATACATGATCAGGATTTGACCCTTCTCCAGCAGATATATATATGAAATAAAGTGCTCATGTACATATCTATATTCGGCTACAGAGCACGTAACACAGAATGAATTTTAAGGCGAAATATTGATAATATACTGAAATAGCAATAATACCCAATAGGTTATTTTTAAATAAGTATTACCGGTACTAAAAAATAAATAAAGTGCTCATATACATATAGATATTTGGATACAGAGCAAGTATCATAGAATGAAATTTAAGGCAAAAAAATGATAAAATACTAGAATAGCAATTATAATAAACATTATGATACTTTTAAATGAAGTATTACTAAAAAATAAATAATGTGGTCATGTACATAGATATTTGGATACAGAGAAAGTGTCATAGAATGGAATTTAGGGCGAAATATGGATGCAAGTATGATAAACAATTTGATATTTTTATAAAAAGTGTTACTAAAAAATAAAATAATAGATTATGGAGTTCCAGCAAGTGTGCTCATAACAAATAAAAAGATAGCAATTCATTTACAACAGTGAATTAAATTCATTACACATTACTACTTGCTATAACACAGCAGGCACATGATACTCATCGTGTTTTGAACTTTTTTAAAGGTTTTGCTCGCTCTCCAGAACTCTCCATTTTTTATTTGTTTGTATTGTCAGATTGTGGACTTTTCAAAATAAACTATCTCTATCTATATCAATGAATACAATATCCCAGGTCCCCACTTGGCTGGTTCATATTCTGTTCTGTAGATAAGTGTTCTGCCTAATAGATGGTATGTATTCCCAATAAGCATTACAGTATGCTCATTCGTTCACTCAATGAGTGATTTTAATTACGGTAAATATAAAATAATATATATAATATAAATAAGTTCATATTCCATTTTGCATCCATGATCCAGTATTTATTTTGTTCAATTCCAGTAGTAATCCATACCATAATTAGGTTATTTTAATAAATGCATTGATATAAAACAATAAAAATAAAATTAGTAAACATAAAATACATATCATAAACATATAATTTTCTTTTTAAAATAATGCATTACATAAATTTTTCAATTCCCTCTCAAATGGGTTGTTTATTCTATAATTCTCTATATTTTTCTACATATTATGGCCATTTTTATCTGCTTTTTGAGAAAGGCAAAATGTGGTGTTTTATTTTCGAATATAATAGAATTTCTCATGGTCAAAATCCTTTATCTCACTATTGATTACAAAAGTATAATTGCATCCAAATCAACAGTATCTATATGACTATATAAAGGATCGTTAAAATTAAATAATATGCAAGAATCATATTGATAACAAAATGTATTCTAATCAATTTTAATATATCTAAAACAAAATCTTCATAAATATTTTTTGTAAATTTACAATACATGAAAATATGTGAAACAAACTCAGGTTCTCCATTACATAATACACACATTTCATTCCCTGCTATTCTTCCAATTTCTGGCTTTTGTTTTCAATGGCAAGATATCCCAAAGTAATTTATAGTTAAAATCAGTATTTTT